ACCATGTGAGAGACTTATCCGTAAGATAAGATCTCATGAACATTCCTGCAATATAATCACAAACATGAAAATGGGATAAATGAATATTCATCCTCATAATCCATCGCTCTAACACTTCCATTGCTCTACTCCCTTTGTAAGCTTCTACATTACAAGATTTTCCCATTCGAAGCAAAAAATTTGCTTGATCTTCAATCTCTTGAAGACGTCTCCTATTTGACTCTGCTGCATCAATAGGAGTTGGTTCTGGCTGAACTTGGGAAGCTTGAACTTGAGGTTCAATTTCCATCTCTCCAACTCTCTCTCTCTACTTTATCACTCTCCAATGCGAAGATTTTATCTTCCATGGCTTGCTGCTTGGTGTGCCCATCTACTATCGCTTTTCTCAACTCCTTCATCTCCGCCATGATTGCATTGAGAACCTCATCCATATCAATTGATGTCCCCATGCTTTCTCACACTCCCTCTAATACAAAGTAAGTATAATCACTATGTGACCTTTCAACAAAGGAGTCACAAAAGGTGCAGGTGATTCTATCACAGCTCTATAGTACTCCTCTCCATAATTCCTCACAAGAAAATCTCTCCATATCCTCTTCTGTCTATATACTTTTCTAATCTCTACATAAGTGCTGAATCAAACCGAGACAGGTGGTTTGCGATTTAAATCCATGAAACATTGAGTATAGAATGTATATAGTACAATCCCAAGTCTCTCCATAAGTAACTATTGGAAGAATCAGTGGCACTCTTGACTCCATCACTCTAGTCATAAAATCTACACCCCAACAAGCCACAAGGTACATCCGATAATGATGTTTCTCCATGCAACGAAGGTGAATATCAAATAGGTTAGGAATTGGCTAGTGCGGTACTGGATTCCTGTCAATCCCGTCCATATATGCAAAACTACAATTTCCCCCTTTCACCTCTCTCTACATGAAAATGAATGACCTCTGCCAGCCTCTATACACTCTCAAGATTACATTCCATCATCATTCACTTGCTATTCCATGAGGGGTAATCCACACTCAAGGAAAGAGCAAGGTCGCTCTGATACCATTGTAACACTAGGGTTTAGAGAGAAGTTCACTCGAAGATAGAAACGTAAACTCTGAAGATGAGAGATATCAACAATGGTTCTCCTCTCTCTTATATAGCTCTCACCAACAAGTACAAGGAGATAAGATCTAATACCCACCATCCATCCCACTCCTAGTGGATGGATGACGTGACGGATAACCCTAACAAGCACACGGATCACTGACGTGGCGCACCCAACTAACACACTCAATCCTTACCTACAAGCACACGGATTGCTGACGTGACACTGTCAACTAACACATCCACTGTGTACCTACCAAGTGCGCGGATCGCTGACGTGGCAGTTATGACTAGTGCACACTAAAGTATCTACATCAATATTTAGAGTAAACTCTACTTTAGTTCTAACTAACAAAAGATGGTTACAACAATACATCTATAGAATGTCTTAGTAAAATTGTAATGTACGATAAGAAGTCTATGCATTATTTTTTTATAAATGACCTCCCACAAGTGATTTACGATTCTAACATCAATGTATGTTACTATTGAGTAGTTATACTCAAATTTACACACTTTTCTCTTGTGAGTGAAACCTCTTGATAATGAAGTAAAACGTTGGTATCACTGTATGTCAATGTTGGGAGGTTTAACTCTATAAAGAAAATTGACAACTATCAAGCTGTATAATTCCAAATTTAAAAAAAGTCAAAAAAATTGATACTTTGATGATGAGAAATATACATTACATGTACAAATTTATACAATTCGACAAATGAAAATTAGATATCACATATTCCAATGTGATTGTTTCTCTCCATATGTGTATTTCATGTGAACACACAAACGTAATGTGATTAATATATTGTAAATGAGAAATCACGAGAATAAAAAACCACATAGAAATCACACAAAATCAACGCAAAAAATAAATGGTTTGACTTGGGCTACTTCATAGAAACATAAGAGTCAAAATCTTGAAAACAATGTTTGGAGGTACAAGCTAGTATTTCAAAACTTAACCCGAAAGCGAGTTTCTCAAAAACACAATCCACATTCTAGTAATTGATTCTAACAATCTTTACTTTACGGTAGCCTTCATAGCTTATATGAATACTCTACATGAAGCTTCAGAAATAAAAACTTAAAACATATATATTTTTAAATAGAACTAACTAGAAGTAATCCGTTTCGAGAACAAGATAAAGTAAAAATATTTAGTGTTAACTAAGAATGTTAGTAAATTTTACTTTGCTCCTCATGCATAATATCACAATGTGTACTAAAACTTTAAAAAAAAGAAGTTTGACTTCATCCTAGATATTAGTGCATCCTAGCAAGTATAAATGATTATGTTTAAAACTCTAAACAAAATTATATTATCTAGTCTCATCTCAATCATTTGTTTTTTGGACCTGAATTTAAGACTTTTTGAGTCTAATAATCCAAAGAATATTAGATTTTTTCTCATATCAAATAAATTTTTTACTTAATTCAATGTATGTTGGATTCCATTAAACATTTGGAGGTTGAAAGATGCAATATCTTCAGCTTACACAATCAACACTCTTTCATAAGAATTAAATCATTTAATACTCTTTAGTCTAATAAAAACTCTCTTATGTAACAATTGGATAATAATAAAAAATATTTGAAATCTATACCTCATAACATTTCTTGCATAGAACATTATTTTAAGATCATAGTACTTCGAATCATCACTCTTAAATTGATTCGTAACCTCAGCAAATCCATTCTTCACAAGACCATCTCTCTTGACATTACAATTTTTGTAACATTTCTAACACAATTTTATGTTTCTTTGTGGATTTATTTTAGATTTGGATCTATGTTTAGATCCAAATCTAAGAAGTATAAGGTTTAAATGAAACATTGTTACGATGTCACATGTCATCTACTAAATCTGTGACAAGATGATACAAAAGATCTTCAAAATTACCTCCATTGTATGGACAAAGTATAAGGAGTTTATTGAAAATTCCTATAATCTGTAAGATGTCAATCTTTTTGCCGTTTTTGAAGACAATCTGCTCGAAATTCTTGCGCTAAATTGTCTCTAATGAGTCGCTAAATTGTCATTTCTTGAAGCCGATTCATCCCATACCACTTTGATAGTTTTAAGATTAGAGGTTGGTGAGCTCCTTGGCATCTATATACTCATCAACAATTCATAGCTGGAGTAGTACAGGACCTGGAGCGTTCGCTTCTCAATTTGAGGTTTACACATGTCTAAACCAGTCTCAATTTCAGGTTCCGCCGTTGAAAACAAAACCATCATTGTCGGTGGAGCCGCTGCATGATTTCACACAGTGACGAATCATATGATCTAAGTACCTTCCAGTAATTTTTCTCATTATTGAAGCAAGAAACAAAACTTCCCTGCAATCAAAAGATGTTTATCTATAATCACTCACTGGAATAATATTTCTTAAAACCATCACGGTCACAGTTCTTGAATGACATTTTACAGCATTGTTTTTTAAAAATGCTCTAAGTTCACCAAAATGAACATATGGGAACTCATGATGAATGCCGGTAACCAAACAGGATGAATACCTTTTGCAATTGAGGGTTACATGATGTCGCGACGTATGAACTCCGCAGTTTCATAACTTGATGGGTGACAATTCCTCGTTTGCCGATGCTTCATGGACATATAATCTTGCGAAAATCAGACTGACCAGTGAAAAATTTTATTTTCTGCATTTACTATCAAGAGACTGGCTAAGAGTTAGAAACTGCAATTGCCCACTCGGAATTCTCTTCAAGATTTCGGGTAGCTCAAATTCGCAATCCTCGGCTGACACACCCTCTTCTCCAGTTGAACAGGCCTTCATCACGCTTTTGGTTCTTTTGTCCAGAGAGGACAAAGACGGTTGGCTGCCTTTGCGTTCTCGTCTTTCCTCTTTATACGACTACGGCAAATCAGCAACCTCAACTTCCTTACAAGCTCCTCGGCAGTGGGGTTTAGGCACACAGAACTGAGCCTTGCCATACCATCCCCGTCCACATTCCAGACAATTCCGCAGCATTTCAATTGCAGATCATCAAGGGTACGGTCTGTCCTATATTTCATCAGTTCCAATTTGACAAAGAGAGGCGCTTATGGAATCCACTGCAAACCGTCAGAGTGTCGGACGACCGTCAGGACCATTGGAATCGGAGTCGAGAGAAGGTAGAAGAACGCCTAATGCTAGATGAAAGTCGTCGCAGCTAAAGGTTTCAGTTAAAGAAAAACATGGAATTGGAAAGCCATCTGCGCATGCATGCCCAAACATCCAGGAGATTACGTTGCAGAACTGGTTAAATTGTACACTCTCGTCGGCCATACACACATATTACCAGACTATCCAATTGCGCACGAGTCACCCTCGTTCGACGTGCATGCATCAATAATGCCTCGCTCGGACGAACAGATTGGCAGTGCCACAACAGACACCATCACCTTCGGTCGTGCGGCCTCTCGTCATGATTGCGCTCTAGTGCTCAACCTCGCGTAAATAATGTCATCCTGTCGCCCGGTTGGGTTGGATTGCGTTGGCTCAAGGTTCCAACGCGCATACAATCATTGAAGGAACCGTCAAGGTCGAGATTATCCGTCCCGCTCCCTCCTCGCATCGTCTCGTCCCATTGCTACCAGAGTGGGGTAGGCCTCGTGGAAAAGGGACAAATTTGCATAGGGGTGGCAAAATTGCATCCTTTACCCGATCGACTCAGATCCAACGATGTGCAAGATGAGGGTGAAGACAAGAACTTGTGGATGGTCTGTCCTGCTCCTGCTCCTGCTCATCGGGGAACACAAACTCCATTCATTCGAGTCGAGGCGCTGAGACGCTTTCACGTTGTAAGTTCATTTCATTCGTTCTTCCAATCAACTGTCCTGCAAGTACATACATTTGGATCCTGGGAACAGACGATCCAGGGCCGGGGCAGTTATGGGAATATGCCTGGGAGCGAGGCCCAAGTGCACATGTACTTTTAGCATCGCCCAAGGCGCAGAATCGATATCACCGTCACCAGCATCGCCGGGCTCGTCTTACGACACCATAATCGTCCACTGCAGCAGCGCTGATGCTGATGACACAGAATACTCTTCGTCCACGCCTTCCGATCCAGCGCTAGCAACGTCGTCGTCCACGCCCCTGATGCCTTCCAGCCAGTGCTCGTCCTGGGACGCCCACACTCTCAGGCAGTTTCAGCAAGAGGAGGAAGACGAGGAAGAGAAGGAGAAGGAACGACAAGGAGGAGGAGATAAGGAAGGGAGTGGAATTGGACCTTTGAATTGCAGTGGGAGGAGTGATGGATATTACGATCAAGATGCTGGGCTTGGGATAGGGATCGACAGAGGCAGTCTGAATTGCCTCCCGGATGAGATCATGGTGAAAATCCTGGCAGCTCTGCCGGTGCTGAACCTGGTACGCAACCGCGTGGTGTGCAAGCGCTGGAACGAGGTTCTGTCGTCGGCGAGCTTGCAAGACATGTCGCTGCCGCAGCCTCGGGACAGTTGGACCCTGTTCTACGACAATAACCACGGCGAGGCGGCCATGTACAATGTGGGGATGAACCGATGGTTCGCTCTGCCGCTGAGCTCCGTGGTGCCATCACAATTCCAGATTGCCAACACGAGTGCTCGAGGCTTGCTGTGCGTGACGGGCCACGTGAGGGGCAACTTCGTGGTGGGGATGTGCAATCCTCTGACACAGGCCTTCCGCCAGCTTCCTCCTCTGCTCCATAACCGCTACCATGCCGATGTGAGCGCCATGGACGCTCCCGACTCCGCAGCGGGCTACAAAATTCTGGCCACGGGTTACAGGGTGCTGGAGATGGACGTGACGTCTGAAATTTACGACTCGCAGAGCGACAGCTGGAGGGTGCTGGACAAGCACCCGAAGAAACGAAAGCTTGCTCGCTACGTGCACGATTATCCCGTGCACCAGAGCTGCTCGCTGGATGGCAAGTTTTACTTCTTCACCAATGATTCCGATGGAGGGCACGGGTCGGGGCAGATTGTAGGATTCGACACTTACGACGATGTCTGGTTCTCCGTCGAGTCTCCACAGTGGATCGTGTTGCGCAGAAGTCTTTATTGGAACCCATGTTTGCTGGCCAGAAATGGTTGCTTGATTCTGGCGGGCGGTGCCAAGTGCTCCAAGACCTGCTCCAGCCAGCCGGGCTGCTCCAGCATCCAGATATGGAAACTGGATCTGGTGGCTCCGGGGGGAGAGTGGATGGAGATAGCCAGGATGCCGGCCCCCATGTTCAGAAGATTTCACACTCAATTCGAGACTTTCCGATGCTTCGGTCACGGTGAGTTCGTCCTCTTCATGAGCTCGTCCCGTCCGCAGATGATAGTTTATGAAATATCCTCCGGGGCCTGGTCTTGGCTACACAACGGCTTGCTGCAGCCAAATTTTGAATACCTTCGTCTCGGGCTTCTGTCCTGGTCCTTCAAAGGATTTAGCTTCAACCCGGGCCTTCATGCTTCTCCTTGAAGCTTAACCCATTCTTCACGTACATGGGCATGTCCATTCTTCTCTTTGCATTGTGGAATCGGTCCTCGTGGTGGGTTGCTCGTCACAGTCGACCGAGTTGAATTTGCTACATATTCAGCCACCGAAGGACTCCAATGTGTGTAAATCAATACATGCCTTACAATCCAAAGTCTGCACTTCGTCAATAGTGATCCCTCTTCATGAGATGTAAGTACAGACACAGCCTGCAATTAACTCAGACATCGAAAAGTGTGAGCTTTTGGACTTCCGAACCACGTCTTAATAACAAAGATAGACACGGTAGAACTGGTCTTAACGACCAGTAATTTTCTACTATTTCAAAATTTCATCGAGAACGAAAAGTTGAAGACATAGGGAGTGACCCCGCCCATTCTGAAACTGGAACGAGAGTCGGACTAGTACATCGATAGCAAAGTACTTTCAGGAGGTCGACTGCCTGCATCAACTGCTGTTTAGACTATCCACTAATACAACGCTTTTAGATCCTCCGCTTCGCCTGCCCATACTTAATACACACGTGCCTTTATTCTCCTCCTATCCGATTAGATTTGTCTATAAGGTATGTATCTGTACATGTGTTGGAGAAAGCAGCTAGTCCGCAAGCTGTGACGGACCTTTGTCCGCTTCCCAATCATTTGTGAAGGAGTGAAGTATTTGGTCAGAAGCGCGGAGTGGTGATTTGCCGTCGCACATGAGCTTGATCTACTCTTGAACATCCAGCCCACCAACACCAACAAGATTAGTTACTGTACTCGGTTCCCTTCACCGCAGAAATTCATTACAAAGCACTTCAATTGGTCATGAGGAAGAAGCAAATGAAGTTATGACTACAAAGTCCAAATTTTCTGTCCTTTCTGAAACGCATATACGTGGGTCGATTACCTGCAATCAACCAGCCAGGCCATTCTTCCCCAATTGGTACGATGTATAAACGTTTTCGTCGTGTAGGGATCCCATATGTTGCGTGGGCTTATTCGCAATGGAGCTAGGAATGCTTGAGTCTCATGAAGAACGAAGTGTTTCACGTACACTCATACGATCGTCTAAAAGATACTGTGTGGGAGTGCCTAATGGTAGACCATCTTTCATCCGTACGACAAATTTGAAGCTCACAAAGGTCCTTGAGCTCAACTCTTACCCAGCCGTCCATTTCAAATGGTCTTCGTGCCTGTAATGGAATTTCCTCGTGTTTTGTGTCCAAAGGACATTCTGATCTCGTATGTAATTTACTGCCCTCTATTTCAACAGACGTGATTTCACTTTCAACTACGACGGTTGCTATTCCAGGTCCATAATTAGAGCACGTTGATGGGTGCTCTTTACTCCTGAACTCTAGATCACTAGTTCCAGGACTACCAGGTTCCAGACTGCTGTCACTGCTGCTGATGTCTCCAGGCGGTCTATATCCCCATGTCAACCAAGGGTCTCCACAAATTCCATCATCCTGCAAAAACGAACCATGTCCTTTCAGTGCATAGATCCACTTAACTGCTTCCGGAATTGATTCAAAGATGTTCAGCCGCGGATTCAATATCGAATCCAGTGCACCCACTTACAAGAGCGTGTATAACCTAGCTACATAAAATTTTCAAAGCATATGATCACAAAACCCACAAAGCATAAACTACATAGTGACAGTCGCATTCAACCATCGGGGAGACTTCGAACTTGCCATTTCTCCGATCAGAATGTACTCCAGAACAGATGGCGTTGCACGCATGTGAGCCGTCCAATCTACACCCATGGGCTAAATCCACGAATATCATGCCAGGTTAGACGCCAGAGACTTCCTAAACCTGTAAAGTACACACAGGATACCCAGTTCTGACGGACTAAAATGAGAAACAAAAAGCCTTTGATCCACTCGGGCATCTCCATGAGTCTATCCAGTAGGGAAAACATGTGTTTGTCAAAACCACAGAGCGTTACTAAAGGAGCAGAACTATAAGAACCTGGGTGGGATGGGGGATATTGGAACACAGCCCCGTTCAGAAGTAACCTAGAGCAAGAGTCATACACTCACCCACCCTCGCCCATTTTCTCGTGCCTTAGAGAAAAGCGCTAACCTTATCCAGAAGTCAATGTTCTAAAGTTAATGTATAACTTTGTAAAACTGCTATGTTTTTTTGTCCAGATGTACAGGGGCTCGATCATTAACGAATGCGTCGTTGGGTGTGCAATTCTCAACAGAACGCTTTTTGGAGAAAAGAGTAGGCTCCGAAAAAGCTATAAGCGTTTCGCTAGTTACCCAGAATTGAAAAAGTCTTGGTTCTTTTAACTCCCGAACCTGTGAGAACTCATACAGGGATCTAATTTAATTTACAGTTCAATATATACTGCAAAATGTACCACTGATACTAAAGGATGTTGATATATACGAGGATGTAAGGAGGAATGTGTTCGTTGTGAATTGTGAAATACACTGGCAAACTGATAGACATATGAAAGAAATGAACAGACGGAGAAATGAAAACCCTTACCATCCAAGAAACCAGAACAATATGAGGACTCCGCTCTGTGACCGATACGAGCGCATCTTCAAGGTTCACATTAGGACCATTTAGACCCCTTTCGCCACTATCTGATGCTGTCACGTGTACAACACAATCCTGGTAATGAAACACCTATCGATCAAAAGTCTGCTGGAAGATGCTTAAATATGGCATAATGCTAGCTATTCATTACCTACAATGGCGAAGGGGTCAGAAAAAGAAACCTTCGAGCTGAGAGAAAGTTGATCTAGATATCGATTGAGGTGAAGGCTCAATCGCCCACTGCCAGCACCAACCTGGGAAGACGGTGTGCATAATACCACAGAACAAGTTTCAGTGAGCAAGCAAAGCTTATCAAGCACGAGGTACGAAACCTTTTTAACTCGTCTTCGCACGTCTACTCAGTCTGTATATAATGTGGAAGTTCTATCTCTAGCTGTACATTGATTGATTTGCTATTCTTTGTATTCACTCGTTTAAATAGTCTTTTACGGTCTTTCGATCGAATCTTCACAAGCTTCAGACCCAACTCAGTTAACACAGAAAGACGGCACCAACCTCAAGTACTTCCAGAACTAAAACATTATATTCCGCAGCTTGCAACCTACATTCATCCTCACGAGAATTCAAGAAGCTTTGAGGAGTCAGATCCACACATCTTGTCGTGACATAAGACAACATTGCAACTGCATAGTGAGCGGGAATGATTTTATGGGGACAAGAGAATAAGAACAAGGCAACTTGGGCAGCGGAGAATATATAATCTCGACCATCACTGAAAAAAATGATAAGATGAATAAATTTAGATCAGCTTGCAGGAGCTACAGCAGTATTATTCTCTTCGGGTAGGCCGCGAAACGATATCTCACTCGAGGCAGGTCTAAGGGCTCACAGCAAGTAATTTGCCAATCCTTGCACGTGCTCTTTTGTGAAGACTTCGTATTGAACCTCCTTGCTCAAGGGAGAATTGCCCTCCACAAATGCATGCCACTCCATGCAGCCTTGACACCTACAATCCAGAGATCCTCCAGAACCGACCTGAGCACCAAGGTCAGGAGGATAAAAATAGATGGTGAGCTTTCCCCTATATTATATCCCTTACTTTTCACAATTCGCGCCTTTTCCATTACATACTCCGCCATCTTTCTCCAGCATAACAAACCGGAAAGTACAGAGTCCGGACAATTTGGACCGGTCCAGGTACAAAAATTCACCGACCAAAAAAACTGGAAATTGAAATTTCATTCGCAACAGTCACTTTTCGCCAGGCTCCACCCGTTGATTCCTGTAACCGTAATCTCCGACTGGTCATTTGATTCTTCGTATGCTTCGATGGTCAGTCCGCCGGTCAAAATGTACACCAAGGGAGTTCAGCTGTCGAAATTGCGAGGGACGGCAGGCAACGGATGACACAAAATGCTCATCGCAGAAACATGAAGTTACCTCCGGATTGCAAGATAAAGACGTGGAGAATAGTGAGAACCGCTTCACAATCTCGTGAAACGACGGCAGCTGCGGCCAGTCCATCGCCTCGACTTCTTCCACAACCGCCAAATCTTGTCCGGCGCTCCAACTCCCACTATCTCTCCCTCTCCGACTCACGTCATCGAAGCCCTCGAGCTGCTACGCATGTACTCGTATGTATGTATGTTCATAAAGGAGAGCTCTGCTCCGGAGTGCGCCCTTGCGAGTGCCCTCCCGCCCGGCCCTCAGAAGACAGAGCACACGCTCCGTTCCACAAATCCACCTTCCGAACGCCCGGAGCCGGCGGCCAGCCAGCGTCTCTGGCGCTGCTGCAGGGACGGTATCGCCATCCGGAGCCGTGCTGTTCAAAGTTCAAATCTGGACCGATCGAATCTAGAGGGTCGGGTCCACTCTGGCGGCACTTCGCACTACGTGGGCCCCTTCGCCTTTCGGCGACCTATTGGTGCAGTCCACCTGGAGGCAGCATCTTCAGGCTGCGGCGCCAGTGGGGCCCCACCTAGTCACAGCCGCAATTCCCCAAGAGCTGCAGGCAGCCCATCTGCCCTGCCCGTCTGCCCTGCCCGACCCGCTCTGGCGACTGGCCTCTCCCGTTGCGAGGTGCGACTCGGCACCGTCCCTCGGAGGGCCCTACACTACAGTCTGCACTGTTTCCTGACAAGGAGTCCCTCGCCGAAGGCCGGAGCAGTGGCACCATCCGCAACCCCGCCTTCGCCGTCGCCTCCTCGTCTTGGGACCCAAACCGGGGAACCGAAGCAGCAACCGTACTCGGTCGAGTCCATGGAGCCTGCCGAATGCTCTACGTGCATTCCTCGCTCCGTCTTCGACCGAATAGACTGTTCTGAAAAAATATCGTTACGGCTGACAGCATGTTCTTCTCGGGTTTCCGCATTCAGTCCACCGTCGACAGCCCGTTCGTCGCGGGGACTCCCGGTGGAGGGTGGACAGAAGCGACATCGAGCAACGAAGACACCGCGCTTCCTCACTGAGGAAGGAGACGCCAGAAGTCATGTGAACACCCGCGTGACCGGAGACGACGAAAAATGAAATCCTCCAGTCCCTCGCGTGCCGAGAAACTCACGGTCTGCCGCGTCGTCGCTCGAGAAGCCGGCCACAACGGAGGAATCTTTCGGACAGCAGTTACGGAAGAGGATCGAATGAGAATACGAACACAGCAACGGCGGAACGACTCTCGTCGTATCGTACGCTTTCGTGATCGGGACGTTAACAGAGTCGCGGCAGTGCCAGGGGTGGTCTGGATAGTCGCCGTTTCAGCGTGCCAAATAGTCGGGTCGGGTCCCCGTGCTCGGAAATGTGAAATATCGGGCGGATATATAGAGAAGTCTGGTTTTCGCCGGGTGCATGGATGGATCGGCCAGCGTCCATGCAGCGCGCCCATCACCGAACGAACAGTGGAGCCTCGAGGGCTGCGGCGTAGCGTAGAGTGCAGAGTCTGGAGTCGAGTGGAGGATCTTTCGTGATCTGGCGACAACACGTTTCGAGCTTTCGTCTGTCTCGGCGCTGCTGCCTGCGTCAGTGCGGTGCGTCTTCCGAGTCCCGACCTCTTGCGCATTGTGTCTGCTTCTGCGATTCTCACTCGCTTCTCCTCCGCTTTCTCGACGCGCGCGCCCTCGCTGTTCTTTTGCGATTGTACTCGTGCTCTCTACCCACTTCCCCGGACCACGCACGCGGTGCCGAGGCCCAGGTCCAGATGTCCACCCCAACTCGTGTGGCGCATTCGCGTGCTCGATCGATTTAGGCTCCTCAGTGTGAATTGCGCAGGGCCGATTTGAGGGAGTTCAGTGCATTTTGGCGGACGCTGCGAGAGCGCGGGTGAGGAAACTACTGCACGGACTTTTCATTTCTGACATCTTGCAGTCCCGAGTCGAAGGCCGAGATCGAAAGAAAAGGCCTGTCAGGTTCGGATCAGTGCGGACTGCTGTAGCTAGCGATCAGTCCACCTTCTGAGCCTGCTCCTGCTGAGTCCTTGGGATAGGCGAGACCGGACCAGCTCAGGCGACGATAAGGCGCAGATGACGGAAGGTGCCGCTGTTTGAATGAGGACTCTGTTGAGTGACCTTTTTCATCGATCTTGGAGGCGACGGAAGCTTCGAGTTGGTAGTCGGGGGGGCTTGTCCGCTCTCCGCTTTTCGAGTTCGGACGAACAATTTGCAGATAGCGAAAGCTCCCGAAGCAGGATGTCTTCTCCTGGGAAATGGAACAATTTCTTCCAAGTGAGGGTTTTTGGGCTTAGGATGAATTTATGGTGCTCGGACAGTAAGGTTCCTCAGGGTTGCATTGTAGACCGTCGTCAAGATTCTCAGATGACTCTGTCACTGCTCGAAAAGAAAGTGAAGCGGAAGTTATGGAACAGGGTGAAACTTGGAGGCAGCTCGAAGAAACGGGAAGATTTGTCGGACACTGTCCCTTTGCAGCTGGAAGCAGCTAGTTTATGAGTTGCAGATGAGCACCTTGCGTCCTCTTTGTATATTTAAAGCACAAACGAAACGAGAATAGAGGAGGCAAGATGTGACGTTGCGCCGGACGGGAATTGATTCTTATTTTAACAAATCCAACCTCTTGCTTCTAGAGAGAAGATCGATCAGCACCCGACTGGACATATACTCCTTGTGACGAGGTTTTGTATGCTTCGAGTGTTAGGTCTGAGAGTCTGGAAGTGACACGCATACTGTACTGCTACTTCCTAGCATAAGAGTGACTACAGGTTGGGACGAGGTTTCGTAGGGCCACCGAGCTTAACACTGATCCAACGACCTTCTGAGAATCGGATGCAAGCGAAGCTGAATCTTTCTGTTGCTCTGATCACGGAGATTTCACATTTGGTCATCGCCTCATCTGGAGCAAATAGGTTGTAAGTCCCTGTCGATAGTGCACTTCACAGGAAATCCAGTTTTGGCTCCGCATCTTTGGCGACTTTCGCTGTATTGTACTATATTCATATCCTAATTCAGTTTAATTCTCTGATACTTCTAGCAGCCTACATGTTCCGATGTCGGGCATCTGATGGTAGATGTCTGTAAGCCGTTCTGCTTGCGATGTCACATCACTGCAATGTTTTCACATCATTTTATCCACCAGTCAACAAATACACAAAAGTGGGTATCGAACCCTTGCAAGGAGGACTAAACGATCCTTGCTACTTTTATAATAGTTTTGTATTGGTGGTAGAGCTGTTTTGCACAGGGTTTGCAGAGTAGAGTATTGTCACAATTGTCAGTTTTTACGGAGTTGATTTGAAAATTTCTGTAAGTCTAAGACGAATAGACAACTGCGTGAATACAAATTAAGATAGTCTTCCAGGGTGAGAAGCAATGCGGGATGCGGTCTCAACTGTTGCGTTAGCAAGTATGATAGGGGTCGAATTGTTAGAAAAATTGTGACATGTCCACTTCAGTTGTCCTGAAATATTATGAGTGTTTTTGGTCGGAACTGGTCTCCATCTAAACGTTAGTCATTTATCATCGGAGAAACTGCCCAACCGTCCAATTAAGTGAGCTTCATGTAGACCTCCTGGAGTTCATTATGGTGTGTTGCTCTTGTTTAAAGTTATGCCTTTTAAGAACCTTCAGTTATTAAGTGGAATTGTGTATGTGATAGTAGCAACGAACTCTTGAGGTCCACTAACATATCGATACCCTTTGCGGCGATCCTAACAGATCCTAATGTACTTGATTTCTCAATGCAAGATGTCATTCTAAATGTCCAGTGACGGGTTACTGAAATTTGTCTTATGAGTGGTAGTATATCTCGTTCAAGTAAATGCTGAGATAGTAAGAACCAGAACTTTGCAACGATCCTAACTGATGCTAATGTACTTGATTTCTCAATGCAAGATGTCATCCTACATCTCCAGTGACGGGTTACTGAAATTTGTCTTAAGAGTGGTAGTATATCTCGTTCAAGTAAACGTTTAGATAGTAAGAAGCAGAATTTTGCATGTTTCTTCCCGACGACATATTGCATTAGGATCGCTCCAGAGGGAATCGATATGTCAGCGCACCTGAAGAGTTCGTTGCTACCATCAACATCCAATGACATCTTGCATTGAAATAGGATTTCAAGTAGATCTACGTGAACGACATCTTGCATTAAGATCGCTTCAAAGGGAATAGATATGTCAGTGCACCTGAAGAGCTCGTTGCCACCATAAACACCAACACCTGAAGAGTTTGTTGCCACTGTCAACATCCGATGACATCTTGGATTGAAATAGGATATCAAGTAGATCTACTTGATATCTTAATGCGATATTAACACTTGATATCTTATTTTAATGTCATCCTAAATCTCCGATGACGGGTTTATGAAATTTGTATAACAAGTGGTAGTATATCTCGTTCAAGTAGATGTTGTGTTTCTTCCCGTCTTCTACACGGAATACCCTATGATGAAACGAGGAGTGCACGCTGAAAGTCAAAGGATGAGGTAGACTACGTTTCAAACTTACCGTGTGCCTGGACCTACGAATGAAGTAGTGAGAATGGATACATAAGTCATTCACATATTCCAAATTTGCTAATTATTGGGACAGAGCTCGACGCCACCAACAACTGAAGCGACAGAATTCAGGTGGATTTCTTGTGAGCTGCCATGTGTGATTGATATCGTGGCAAACTTCGGTTATATGAGGGGATAAATTGAAGACAATGTGCGGAAAAATTGTAGACCTAATCCTCTGCTACCTTCGTAGAGTCTAGTCTCCCAGAACGTTCTCTCTTAAAGGCCTTCCAAAGCCCTAGGCCGAGAAGAAAATTTAATACGTTCAACCCTAGCATGCCCAACGAGGCAAGAGGAAGCTCTACCGTGCCCCTTTCAAACTTGAGTCTATCTTGAACTAGTTTGGCTGTGATCATTATGTGTACGGCACATCTTGCCGTGAAAAAAGCAATCCAGTTCAAAAGCCACTCAATCCTCAGCAAATGGCCCCATGCTCTGTTCACTCCAGCCAATAATATCACCTTGCGTAGATGTAGGAAAACGGAATGTACCTGATAAGATAAAATACATTAAATTGCATTAAATTTTCAACCATGATCATCAAACTCAGTTTCCACTTCTATCGTTCAACATGTCAATAAGAACGCACTTTAGAATCTAAGCTGACGGCGGTACGCGGTGCTAAACCGCCAAATGTTCGCCCATAGGATTGTCGCACGACTTCAATAAGGATGAAAACTCCAGTGATGGGTATAAACGTAACTCCAACCACATGCATATTTCAACAGAAAACCATGCCAACATGATAAAAGTTCAGTCATACCTCGCAAACCAGCGTAAGAATCAAGTAATTGATGCAGCTGTTCTTGAACAGGGCAACTACAAAACACGTCAGGAGAACGAGATGATGTGTGAGGACCGAAGGAGCCCTTGGCTTGTACAATCGTCGACGAAGCATGTCCCACTGATCATAAGCAAAGTAACCACACGAAAAGCCCAGAACCGTGTGTGCTCCAGGCCATGCTTTCTGTGTTAATACTTCGTGTCTCCACATTCGGGCTATCCCTTGCTCCCTGTGTTCATCTATCAGCAAGCTTACAACTGCACCAGATGACGACTGCACGCATCAGCTTTTGGATAATTCATGCCAACAACAGAACAAAAACTGAACTTCTGTAGACTAAGTCTTGACTTTAAAAGCGCTGAGTCATAAAGCATGAACGTAGTGCTTAGCCTCCGAATCCCGTGGACAAAGAGAGATTAGACCAACTACTGGAGTTCAGAACACGATTGAGAATTTTCGGCAGAAAAAGCATTCGATCAAGAAAAGAGGACCTCTACAGTGTCATGATGACAGGAACTGTGATCATAAAAAAGTTCGGATTCCACTTGAAGTAAGTTTGTCGTATGGTAGAAGTTGGAAACAAAGGTTTCCTCAAGGCAATTTCATTCGTGCGAGTGTCACAGAATGTTGGGTTCTTATTCACGATGCCCCTCACTGAAGACTGTTCGGTTTTATCCCTGAAATTTTCTCGCACAAGTTTTTGGTCATCCTCAGTTCAACCAGTCTACGCCAAATCGAAGAAGACACGACCGTTCACTGTTTCCACAAAAGGATTTGAACTATTGACAATATAAACCTAGTCGAGATCTCCTCTAGAAACAGATTTAGTAACATGAAAAGTTTAATGATGCGTTCTAACTATGATGTAGGAAGTGCAGAAGGTCTCTGCTGCCGTTGTGTCAAAAGCTTTTTGAGATACACAGACCTTGGTCGTGTGAAGAAGCCAAAGTACCTCACAAATCGAGCAAAGATGGCGGAAATCAAAATCGAATCAAATCAAAATTCATGAAAAAGATGACGGAATACGCTTAAACACGAATTTGGCTGGGACGACACTAACACACCAGCAGATCATGTCAAGAACAAATTGGTCACATCAAGCAATTATCACACATTGCCACAGCAAGATTGGGTAGCATGATATTGTAGGTTGTCAAACTACTACTTCTATTACTATGGTAGCTGTGGTTACATGATGACCAGAAATTCTTTAAAACTTCAGAAAGGCAGGACATTTTTATTAAAACATTGCCGCCGTAAAACGGCAAACATGGAAGAAGAAATGCTACCTGCGATGGAAATTGCTGTCGAGTGCAACAGTGAAACTGCCGTGTTCAAAAAGCTGTCGACATGTCTTGGCTGCAGGTTGGATAAAAACTTTGGATCCATGGCCACGACAAACGACAGAACCTTATTGAAGGTCTCAAAAAACGCCCAGCCATAGATCACGGGCCACAGATTAGCTTTCCCCTCCCAAATTTTCCATCCCAATGCGAGCGTCCATATGACCAGCAGCGCCAAAAACATCCAGCCCGTTCCATCTCGTGAGGGCCTAGCAGAGATCGTTCTCCCGACCTGGCTTCGGCGAAGATCAGTGCCAATCCTTGAGGACACGCCATTCCCCTGCAATTCCACTGAGGTAACGCGCCGGTCCTTCGTGCCGGCATCCGAGGGAAACACTGGCGCCCCAGGCCCTTTTTCCATAAGAATTCCATTTCCCTCGGCCTCCATGGCTCCACTCGAACTCGGATATCCACCAAATGCTGAACGTCACGGCGGATGGCTAACAAGTCTGGATCAGTATGCAAATAATGCGACCTGCGGCCATCCCCACTAAATCCTCTGCTCAATCACACATCGGCAAGCCCGACCACCTCCGCTCCCTCGCTTCGCATTAATCTGTAGTCCGACACAGCCCTGTTGAACACACCATTTCTCCAATGGCCACGACCACTGGAGCCAGCAAACGTAATGACAGGGAGCTTTACGATTCCCAGCAGTCGCAGACCCTCAGTCTCCGACTCTGACAGCTACAGCTACAAAATCCTCAGTCTGCTTCCAGCCGTCGCGTACAATAATTGCAGCAAAACAGAGCACGCAACGGCAGAGTCTCGAGAGTAGCAGGAAGTTTCGATCATATCCGCTTCTAATTTCACATCAAGACCGAGGGCAGGGCAGGGCCGGGCGGGAAAAACCCGCAGAGCGACAGAGGGCGACAAAGAGAGAAGGAAAATCACGTAATGTCGTGGACACTGATCAGACCTCGAGCATGAACGGATCGAGTCAAAGCAGAGCAGCGCGGCGAGGCCGAATTGGAACCCGAGTCCGGAGAATGGCGGGTCCTGGAGCAGAGTGTGGGGAACTATGGACTTATCAAGGCCCGCATTGCTCCAATCGACCCTCGGCTTCGTAGCCAGCCAGCTTGCGAGCACAGGTCAGGCCCTCGCACTGCCTTCATGGCAATTGAATGCGTTCGCAGGCCCCGCGTACATTGCGACCTTTGCGACCTTTCCTACCTGCTTGGCTTGTCCGTCGCATTTCGCTGAGCCTTCCGGTTACTGATTCTCCGCACGCAAGAGACACTCACTGTGCACACCGAGCCCAACTTCTTCACTCTTCCCGGGAACCGACGTAAACCGGTGTCTCCCGGCACGCGACGAGTTGCCTTTTGTACGATCCCCACAACTTCCTGTTCCTCTGAAGATGACAAACACGAGTTTGTCATTTCGTCACTACCTTCCAGTCAACGTCATTCCACAATTAGTGTCTCTTGTCACACGGGATGATGATAATATATCAGGACATACTCATGTTTGTTATTCTAATCTGATCCCTTTTTTATATTCTTATGTTTGTATAGTGATATATTCTTATGTTTGTTGAGCTAATTGAATGTAATATTATAAAAATAATATAGTTATTAATCGTTTTTATTTCTCGATATATTTCTGTATGCAGAATTTTTTTTTCGTTTTCTGTTTGTCTACTTTGTTTTTTTAATCTAATTTTTATGAAATATTACATATCCACTGGTACATTTTTGTACATAAATTCATGACAAGTTTTTACGCTATATATTAATGATTTTCATAACCTTTGATTCTATTGTTTGACAAAGAGCAAAGTAAGCCGTTTTTTCAATTGAATCTTTGATCCTAATCATTAAATTGCGTTAGATAGCACAATACATATTTAAAACGTTGAGACATACGTTTAATTTCATCACGTGCAATTTGTTTGAAATTTTTGCATTAATTATTGTAATTTCAACATCTTTCACTTTTGTAAATTTTTTATAATATAATAACTTGTAAAATGAAATACCTAACTGTGTGTATTAGCAAGAGAAAAATTTCTGAACATGTTGTATATTTCTATCAAATAAATAGGATTCAATAATCAAAAAAGACAGAAAGCACAGCCAAAATATACCAATGAAAAGTAGACAGAAATCAATAGTCATAATTGCTCATTTGCAGGAGGTTCGTTGAATTTGCACAACTATGCAATGGATTGGAGATTGAGCAGGCGTGATCGATCTAGCGGTTACAAATTGCAATTTTTTTCAATGCCATATTCTTTGAATATATAGGAGTAAGAGTTGATAGCAAGGACTATTTTTTTCTGAAGATTTCTAATTTTTTTGAAATGTTGAGCTTTGATTGAATATTACATATCTTGAGAAAGCTAGTGCGCAAAACATTATTACTACACGGACTTAAGACCTGAAATTTTGTGAAGATAGTCACATTCCAAATCGTGAGTAGAAAGATCACTCATTGTAAGACATTTTTTTTATAGCGATGCTTGCTTGCCTCTTGTATTTGGGTACAGATAAATTCATGAGCGATGATATCAAAGATTGGTTGTTGCTAAGATTTTTATCTGTTTACTGTTTAGATGTGAAGTTTTTGTGTGTTTGTGGGTATACTGGAAGTAGTCCTTGTCACAGCGCTCTTCGAACAAGATCTGTACATGCTTCATTTATCACGTCCTTCAGTAGTCTTTTTTCTTGAAAACAAATCTTAAGTTCCTACAATTTGCGCTAAATTTCATCGCTTTGCTATCACATATCTTTATTTTAAATTGAAACGCTTTTAATTTCTCAGAAACTTTATACTGTCTTATACATGTCACACATAAAATATGTTATCACTAAAAAAATCATTCAAACTGAAAATATGTGAGCATATCATATCTTGGCTAAATATTACTATAAGAGTGCTCGAATGTTTGAAATTGTCAATATTAATGAAAATTTTATTTCGTTGTCAAAGTCATTCATCTATCACATCATTCGTCAAATTTTTTTCATATGATAGAAGAAGATGTTGTGTTAAGATGATAACATGTAGTTCTAAACTCAAATTTTTTAAAAATATTTTTTTTTTGATATTTTTTTTCATTTTGTAGCTACTGGACCAATTTGGCTGAAAGGGAGCGAGTTTTGTTTAAAAAAAAAGGCATCAACTATATCGCTTCAGTCAATCATACAAATGGATAAAAGGAGAAATGACAAGTCTGAAGCCCTTCAACATCCTTCTAAATCCTTTGAAGAATGATGCCTTGCTAGAGTAGCAAAAGACAACGCTAGAGTAATCTCTAGTCCAATAGAAGTATACATATACTAAACTCTTTCTGATGAAGAAGATCAACAGTCATATTTATCAAATTGGAAAGATAGATACTTTAGAATCAACTGGCAAACATTGCAAAACGTCTCTGAAGGATGAAAGATGGTGAAGATTGACAAAGTTCATCTGCAAATGCTTCAACTATATGTTCAGCATGTGTATGCTGATGTGAAAACTGAGTAGTTGTAACTTCTCAGAGAGATAACGTATACGTTAGCTGTTTCGGATAAGGCCAGACAAAAAATATATAGCGCCACGAAGCGTGACTGTGAGGTAAAAATGTTAAGTTTTAGAAAAAAAATCGCGAAAGCATTTGACAGTCTAAAGCAATTCTAGATGTACGCATGGCTGCTAAAAATGCTTTTTTAATTTTATTAAACACAATCATAAGAACTGACAAAAGAAACTGTGCAGATTTGCATGGTAGTTAGCAGTTGTATTTATAATAATGGATTCAGGGCTGAGGTTTCAGCTGTTATAATATGCAGGGGTTTGCTGTAATACTGCAAGTGTACTCAAGAGCTACATAAGTTGATTTGGTGGATTTTTTAACCTTAAATTGTAATTATGCCAATTGCGCATGATTTGTGAATTGTTTTTAGATTGTGAGGATTTTGAGAATGATATGACCTTTTATTTTTCTATGGAATTGTTCACTCTTCATTATTACATACATACATACAGGTATATTTTTAAGTCATCGATCTAATTAGAGTCGTAGGAGTTTTAATTATTACATATTGTCTGGAATGAGATTTTCCAAAATGTGCAAAAGTTGTATAAACTTGTACAAATTTGTTTATTTCTTTAGAAGCAAATCTTAATTTCGCTTCATCGACTCTAGCTTAGTGTGACCTTTTTGTTGAAAGCATACTGACTGTTTACAAATATATGATGATGGACTTGCAGCTTACTTGTAAATGAGAAACTCAAACATTTTTCACCAATATATGTTCATCCAGTTTCATATATTTCAATTGAATGATATTTAAACAAATCACTGGAAAGAAAATTTACTTGATTGTCTCTTATCAGTATTGTGTCAAGATAAGAGAACAAGTCCAGTATGTAGAATGTATTTTAAATACAATTTTAAAAATATCTCTTAAAAAAGGACTTAAAGAGTAGCAATCTAGACACAAAAGAATCATGTGCATAAATTTTGTTCTAAAGTGTAAACTATAAACTTTAAACTTAAAAAAAATCATGTAGCAAATCTTCAAATTTTAGTTGTTTATGCTAAGAACATATTCTTATGGTAAAACTATTTCATTATGAAAGTAAAAGAAACAGAAGCCATGCTAGTATTTTTATGAATATAACAAGCTAGTCTAACGATAACAAGCAAAAACATGTCCAGGCCTGTCATTGAGTGCATGAGTAAGCACATGAAATCAAACGTGTACAATCTACTTATAATAAAACCAAGCAGGATGCCACCGATTTCACAATCTGACTGAAATAGCCAAATGATAAATAAAAGATAAAATCCAAGCAGGATGCCAGCGATTTCACAATGAGAATGATATACCCGACTGTGTGACTGCTTAGTGTGACCTTGTGTGCTTAGTGTGACCTTGTGGTGTCAAATCTCGATGGAATTGTACTTCTATGTACACATTTGAAATGATCAGATGAATTTCTTTACCATTTACTTTCACAGCTTTTTAGTCTTTAGAATACATAAACCATAACACGAAAGAAAGGCTGTTTTATACACTACTTTATTTCTTTCTATGAGATAAATTGACCTCATGGATAGCAGAAAATGATTTCATATAAAGACGTGATGAATTCCATCAAATATCTACTTTCATCTGCAAAACCAAAATATAAAGTGTAATATAAATCATTCATATATTTAATAACAACTTATCAATACACTAAGATCTAGAAATGTATACAAATTTCTATCCGATTTTCATAATTTTTAGGTACATAACAAAGTTATCCACACTAATTAAAATCAAGAGAACGAAGAAGAAAACCCAACTCATATGTTGTATACGGGTATATTCAAAATCTAAAATATCAAATACACCAAGTTACCCACCTAGCAATCAAACCCAAATTCTAGCTACATCTAGAAAAAAAATATATATATATATTTATATATATATAACTTTTTTCAATTACTATGTTTGGCAAAGTATGGTAAATCACTCAAACGCGAGCCACCTCTTCATCTATGTAACAACTATCTCTTAATCTTTCCATCTTCTCCAACCTCCACCTGCCTCTGATTATGTAAAGCAGCGGGCATTTAAGCACAGACCACGAAGATCACAAGCGTTGATTCGCAACATGAGTGATGCGGTCACCTGTCTTGCGTGCGTCGGGGACAATTGCCGAATCCTAATCCTCCATCAGCGTATTCCAAACGAAGGTGAGTTGTGTCGGGGAAAGCTCTAAATCGGGAAAGTCGGTCGCTCGCATTCCTATTCAATCAAGATCGAAGAACGAAATTGGCCTTCTCAGTGGACGGGAGTATCTACAGAGCATCCAATGCTCTCCGGAGTCTTCATAACAACACCGAACAACGCCAAGGTACTGAACTAGTAGGAAGATAAAACAAATTGCTTAGCTTTTGCGACTCGACACATGTATTTCTATGTTGGCAGTTCATATTTGATCAAATCTTGTATTTTACACATCCCATCCCCAATTTTGACGTGATTAGAACATGACTCGTGAATAACTGGTTTTCAAATTTTATCTGAACAAGCTCGTATTAAGTCATGGCGAGGAAGCCAGCGGAGAGAAAATAATAGCTGGACAGAGAATGATAGAGAAATAACTGATTCGATTGACCTCGTGAAATTGAGTAGGAAGGTGCACGTTATTATTTTCATACACTGCAAATTTATTGGATTGTTGAGGAGGAAGGTACACAGAGATCGAATGCTGGATTTCTAGAACGGCATATCTCAGACAACTAATTTCTATCGTAGTTTCCTTTGAAGACTTAGACCGAAGAATTGACATGAACGAGTTTCTTTTCTACTGGCCAGAAACATTCAGTCCTGCCCTACGATAGACGTCCGAAGGCAGTCGCCTGTTTATGAGTAGATTCAAAGGATTCTGCCTCCTTACGGACGTTCCCAAACTCTCTTCTACATCTATGTCCAGATGAGTCCAGCCTTCGGGTAGGGAGATTGTACACGCATGAATCAGCTGGGCGATGTTATATGCCACAGAGAGGAGCGCCAAATTCATGGCCACACACTTTCTTCGCCCAGCACCGAAGGGCAGAACCTCGAAATGGTGCCCTTTCACATCAACAGGGCTGTTTAAGAATCTTGAAGGATCAAACTTCGTAGGATTTTCCCAAACCTTGGGATCTCTGCCAATGGCATAAAGGTTCACCATTACCCGGGTTTTCGCAGGGATATCGTATCCTGCTACTTTTGCTGCCTCCGTAGAAAAGTGAGGAACTCCCAAAACAACGACTGGGTACATCCGTAGTGTTTCCTTCACCACCGCTTGCAGATACTCGAGTTTGTTGAGGTCTTCTTCTTCAACCAGCCTTTCTTTACCGATCACATCGTCGAGCTCATTCTGAAGTCTTTCCATAATGTCAGGATGCCGCAGAAGCTCCGTGATTGCCCACACAATCGTATCAGGGCTAGTCTCACCTCCACCAAGGATCATGTCCTGATTGAAGAATCATCTCTATATTAGTAATCATGTGCATACAAGATAGAAGACGATACACCCAGTGAGAATATCCACTTCCATGTACAGTAGTAAGAGCAATATTGCCACTGTCATCCTTACAATCGTTTCTGCACTGTACTTTCAAATTTCTGTAAGAATTTCTTGTCACAACCGAAGAAAGAGTTTAGAAGATCGAAACTCAAACGTTGACTATGTTGATGGGTGTGAAGGAGAAAGAAGGTTGAACATAACGTTTACATTTTGAATCATGACTTTCACTCTTAAGACTCAGAGCTGATTATTAATGTCAGAAGGAAGACAGATTTCACGCAATCAAATATTCGAGCGGAAAAGGTCAGCATCTGTCACAAACCAGAAGAAGAACTTTGACTTGAAGACGTGAAAAGTTGCTCATAGCCAACAGCACGTCCAAGAAGTCTTCTTCAGTATTCGACTTCGAGTTGGACTTTTCCTTCAGGCGGTTGTCGATGATGGAATCCACAAGGTGCAAATATTTTTCGCCTAAGTTTTTGAGCCTTTTAATTTGTCCACTTAGATCCAGTGGCTTAAGCAAAGAAAAGAACTCTTCCGTCACGAACCATCCTGTACGTGTTAGATCGTGGATTATATCATTTAAGTCCTTGTTCTGAGCACGTCCATCCATTCGAAATAGCATTCGGGTAGTCAAGGACATAAACTGTTCGTGCATTTTATCACATAGATTTGTATAACGATTCGCATGACCCTCCTCACATGCACTCCATATCGTTCTCAAAAGCAACTCTCGTCGCAAATTCTGCACAAGTCAGTATAGAAACTTCAGCGGCGCACGAAATTGACGACATGCTGCACCCGCTACAGAAAGGGAATCGCGATTTCAACGGGAGAAACCTGAGCTGGTGACAGTGAGAGACTACAGCGATGATAATGTAGTTGCGAAGGACATATGCGAGCCATTTCTGTAAATATGTGAAGGACAGGCAAGTCAAGATGAGAAGAGCAACCTATGTCATTGGTAAAGCCTTCAGGAAAGTAAGAACTAATATTTTCTTTTAGGTGTCAAGGACAGAAATCAGCAGCACTCTGTGGAGCAATTGCCAAAGCTATTTATAGAAACTGGAATTACATATAGAACGCTCTTGAACGAAAAAGAGACCTTTACTTCTAGACAAGACAAACCGCCTGTAGTTCTTAGACTGCGAGTCAATCGTGTGTTAGAAAGAAATAGTGCACGTGAAGAACTCGTATACACTTCAGTAGACTTGTACCTGAAATGAGTCGATCCGCTGTTGTGAAAGAAGTTCTGTGCTGACCATTTTCCGGGATAAACGAAAGTTTTCATTCAAAGGACTGAATATTAGATCCTGACCTTCTGCAAACAGCAAATCGCCTAGTATCCCTGGAGGGCGGGAGGCAAATATGTGATCTTGAGTTTTCAGAATCTCCCTGGCGAGATCCGAGGAAGATACAACCACAACACTTACAGCTCCCAGTTCCAGCCATACTATGGGTCCATATTTTTCAGCGATTTTGCACAGGGTGTGGTGAGGCAACCCAGATCTGAGGAGATGGTAATGGCCAATCAGTGGCCACGCTGGAGGCCCAGGCGGTCGTCTCCCGGGAGTATTTCTAATTCCCCTGAAAACCTTCAGCAGGATGGAAAGGAAAACCAGTGCTGCAATAGTTTGCACAGACCAGCTCGTGAGTACAGCAAGGAGGCCCCCCATATCTCTCACCTGCATATCTTCTGCAGCTCAAAATCAGACTCTGATGAAAGGAGTTGAGAGAAACAGTGGATTCAGGGATGAAGCAGAGCAAAATATGGGATCCCAAATTTGTGTTATTGTCGTTAGAATGCAAGGAATGAAGTGTCACCGAGGGCTAAGGATGGGGAGGCACATGTACAAGTACACTTTGTTGTTAAAGGGTAAAAGTGAAGAACACTTTCGGTCCAGGTGGAACCATGCCGATGTACTTACATTACCTTTAGTGCATAGAAGGTTTTTTGACCTTTAATGGTACCAGAGGTGGGCGTCAGATGCTGCAGAGCAACAATATTTAGTAGAAAAAGAAAAATGGATAGACATCACAAGAGCCCGTGCGGGATTGGCTGGGTATCGAACGTCGCGGTACTTCACTTGAATGTAATCTTGATAAGGTAGGAGCAAGAAGTGATTATAACAGTTGCATTGAAAAGACATGCAAAAAGGCATAATATATACATCTCCAACCAGGGGCGGAGCCAGGAATTTTCTGGTGCGGGGGGGGGGGGGGGGGGCTGGGGGCTCCCCGCCAGGTATTTCTGTAGCGCCGCAGGCGAAATTTGTTTCTAAATCGCGTTTTCAACAATCTGCACCTCACAATCTGTAGACACTTCCTGGGCTTAGGGGGAGGGGGGGGAGGGGTGCCCCCCTCTGCCCCTCCCTGTAGCTCCGCCCCTGTCTCCAACGCGTACGAACATATTTTATAATCTTTGAAAATACATAATTCTTAGAGTTAACCAATTTAATACAGGCATCAGAAATTGGGGATCGGATCAGTCATCGGGCAGCTTGGATCGGGGATCGTCAACAACGGTGACCTTGAAGACAAAGCCTACCGAAGTCGGCGAGCACGCACCACTCCTCACACAACACCAGCAACCAGAAGAATCTTGACTCCACCAGTAAAACTTCCGTGACACAGATTAGAGACTGCGGGGAGCACAGCTGTTCGAGAACTCCGTTCAAGTCAAATCGGGTGATCTTGAAGACAAAGCCTACCGAAGTCCGCGAGCACGCACCACTCCTCGCACAACACCAGCAAACAGAAAAATCTTGACTCCACCAGTAAAACTTCCGTGACACATATTAGAGACTGCGGGGAGCACAGCAGTTCGAAAACTCCGTTCGAATCAAATCGAGAGAGATCTACGGTAGTGTAGGATCTAGGATTATTGATCGTTTTCCAGTGTTAAACATTTTGATAGATACCGAATAGTTTTAGATGGCACATAGCACTTTAGCTGTCATAGAATTTATCAGCCTGGTGCATATGTTTACTGGAGATAGTCCAACACCCCCTTGCATTGGCCCAATCGGTGTCAATCGGTATCACGTAACAGAAGACAATCCCAGTTGCGCCAACGATGGAACTCAAGATCAGAACGTAACACACGTTCCTCTGGTCGAGCCCGATTACTGTATTTAACAATCGGGCTCAATCGCTGTACCCATAATACACAAATAGGCTGCGGCTTGATGGATAGCGACTTCCGTAGGTACAGTATCCATAGCAAATCTTCCTGGTTTCTGGGGCACGTTCACACTCCTCTCAAAATCTAAAATCATGTTCTACTCTTTCACAGTTTCGACCCCGTATTGAAATTATATACTCTATTGATAAGGAAAAACTAAGCGGAGAAACTTTGAAAATTTAATCATTTAAGTTTTTGATCACATGACTTAATGTATATTTTAAGATAACACATTTAATTTTAATTGAGTTTGGAAAAATTCATGACCTCAAGGTATCTCGACATATAAATGAATTGAAATAAATTGAAATAAGCGTTGTGGAAGTATCAAACGTATTCTGTCCCTGCAGTCATCAATGGCGATGACTTTCTTTAAAATATAAGTTGTTGATATGCGTTCATAGTCATTATTCACATTCATTTTAATCAGCATCTTTCTATCCACATCAAATCTGTCTTACTACATGAAGTATGTAAATTTTTTTAGAGTTTTTATTTAAACTCCAATTTCTACTGGTATCTGGATTAATTCAACTGTAAATGTATCTTATAAGTGCTAATTTGACAGTAAGTGAAACTCAAATTCTACATAATAAATACAAAATCAATATTGTATTAGGAAATTTTATCCCCTAAGTCTTCAAGAAGCATTACACAAAATACTAATTCCACGTGTAAAGTGCAAGTCCCATTACTTTTAAACTGATTGCTGAATATTAAATACTTGATCAGCTGCCATAACTTGTAAATTCATGCATGTCATAAGAATACAATCATTTATTTATCAATTCTAGTGATCATAATTCTTGAATTTTATAAAGTCTGTACCATATTAACTTATGAAAATGAAAATGAAAGTGATATAATGAAGCAAAGTGAATGATATACTTCATTTTGGGAATCATGTATTCTCTCTTTGTCTTTAAGATTATGATAAAAATAGTTTTAGCATTTAATATTCAAACATAAAAATTATGATTTTATGATCATGAATATTTGAAAAATGACAAAGATTTCTATTTGAAAATGATGTTTGCTTTTTTAGATATTAAACCTCGTAAAAGAGGAGAGTCACCATGTTGTGGCGACATTCTAGAATCCAAGGTGAAACGTCAACAAATTGTGTAATCATTGATATTAGTATATTTTGATTATTTGAACAGAACACATATTCAAAATATAGTCCTAATGATATGAGTAAACTTGGTGGACTGATATTAAATGGAAAAGTAAATGCTTCGGGAGACTTAGGCGAATGAATTCGGCCGTGATGTTAGTGTAGATGAGATGGTTTAAGCCGAAGTTGCTTCGGCGCGGAGAAACCCTTCAAGTACATGTCATCACTGCGTATATCTAAGACTACATGGACTAATAGTTGCACTGCACCGCAGAATAACATTTGCCAAAAACTTACAAGTTATTGTAGGCCAAAACGAGGCTAATCACACTAACAAGGCAGCATCCCCATATCATTGGTGCTAGATAGAGCTTACTCATGAACTTTCCCTTAACGTGAACAAAGGCTTTACATATGAAAGAGATGCAATATTTAAGATTGTTAAGAATAATTAAGATGTTTCAGTATGGGAAGAATCCTCGAATAGACTTGAAGCAACACCAGTTGGCGATTTCTAGAGAGGTCAAGGATTTATATTCACGTTGATCACAATCGCTGTAAAAAAGTTTTGAATCTGCTCAGCGCTACTACGGTCCACATTCTTATTGTGAATGTTATATGTTTCACCTTTTACAATCTCTTGTTTATAATTTACATATTGGAGTACTAGTATGAGAGTATGGTAGGTTGACCTCGTCAACCGACCCAATATTGTTTTATCGAGGAAAAAGCTATACGGCGATCGATTTTTGACTTTGTTAGAAAGGCATAACTCAGAGCCTTAATTTCTACTGAACTTTCTTTGAAGCCAAGAACGAGCGTTAATTCTTTACACACCAGATAATTGCAATCCTGCCCTACGGTAGACGTCCAAAGGCAGTCGCCTCTTTATGAGTAGATTCAGAGGATTCCCCCTCGCTACGGTCATTCCGAACTTCTCTTCAACATCTACGTCCAGATGAGTCAAGCCTTCGGGCAGGGAGATTGTGCACGCATGAATCAGCTGCGCGATGTTATATGCCACAGAGACGAGCGCCAAATTCATGCCCGGACACCTCCTTCTCCCAGCACCGAAGGGCAGAAGCTCGTGATGGTGCCCTCGCACATCTACAGGGCTGTTTAAGAATCTTGAAGGATCAAACTTCAGAGGATTTTCCCAAACCTTGGCATCTCTGCCAATAGCATAAAGGTTCACCATTAACCGGGTGTTGGCAGGGATATCGTATCCTGATACTTTCGTTGCCTCCGTAGAAAAATGAGGAATCCCCAAACCAACGACTGGGTGTAGCCGTAGTGTTTCCTTCACCACTGCCTGCAGATACTCGAGGTTTTTGAGGTCTGCTTCTTCAACCAGCCTTTCTTTACCGATCACATCGTCGAGCTCACTCTGAAGTCTTTCCATAATGTTGGGATGCCGCAGAATCTCAGTGATTGCCCACACAATCGTATCAGGGCTAGTCTCAGCTCCAGCAACGATGATGTCCTGATTGATGGATCACCGATATTAGTGATCATGTGCATACGAGATGACGACTATTGCTAGTGAGAATATTGATATTCGCTTCCATGTAGTATTGCCACTGTAATCCGTACACTATTTTCTGCACTGAACTTGCAATTTGCTGTAAGAAGGAATTTAGAAGAACGACGATACAAATTTGCCTATGTTCGTGTATGTGCAGAAGAAAATTAGCTCAAAACAGCGTTATGAATTTGATACATAACCTGGACTCTTTCGACTCATAGCTAGCTATCAATGTCAGAAGGAAGACAATCGTCATGCAATATAGTATTCGAGCGGAAAAGGTCGGGATCTGTCACCAACCAGAAGAAGTACTTTGACTTGATCACGTGAAACATTGCTCATAGCTAACAGCACGTCCAATAAGTCTTCTTCAGTATTCGACTTGGAGTTGGAATTTTCTTTCAGACGGTTGTCGATGATGGAATCCATAAGTTCTGAATATCTTTCACCTATATTTTTCAACCTTCTAACTTGTCTGCTCAGATCAAGTGGCTTAAGCAGAGGGAAGACTTCTTCTATTACGAACCATCCTGTATGCATTATATCGTAGATTATTTCCAGAAGGTCCTTGGTCTGAGCATGTCCATCCATGTCCATTCGAAATAACATTCGGGTAGTCAAATTCAAGAAGTCTTTGTGCAATAAATCAGCTAATGTTATGTAACGATTCGCATGACCCTCCTCAAATCCAGTCCGCAAAGTTCTCAAAGTCATATCTCGCCTCAAATCCTGCACAAGTTGCTTTCTAAACGTTAATGGCGCAAAAAATGGCGACATGCCGCACACGCGACAGAAGGAATCATGAGCTCAACGAGAGAAACATGAGCTGGTGTCCGTGAGAGACGACAGGAATGACAACTCTTCTTGCGAAGGCCAAATGCGAGCCATTTTGCAGTTTGTGAGAAGAACAAACTCTGTAATTGGTAAAGCCTTGAGGAAACTAAGAACTAATTCTTTGTTCTCGGTGGCAAGGACAGAAAACAGCAGCAATTTGTACAGCAATTCCCTCAGCTATCTATAGTCAATTGTTGTCAATTTGAGATGCTCTTCAAACAAAATGATACCTCTTCTATTACACAGGACAATTCGATGTAATTCTTAGAGCCCAGTCAATTATTCCTTAGAAGCAGATAGTGCATGTGACCAGACGCTTCCAGCCAATTGGACTTGTACCTTAAATGAGTCGATCCGCTTTTGTGAAAAAAGTTCTGTGGTAAACACTTTCCGGGCTCGACGAAAGTTGTCATTCAAAGGACTAAATACTAGATCCTGACCTTTGCTGAACACCATGTCCGTCATAATCCCTGGAGGGCGAGACGCAAATATGTGATCTTGAGTCTTCAAAACCTCCCTGGCGATATCTGAAGAAGTTACAACCACAAGACGTAAAGCTCCCACTTCCAGCCACACTATGGGTCCATATTTTTCAGCGATTTTGATGAAGGAGTGGTGAGGCAACCCGAATAAAAGGTGATGGAGATGGCCAATCAGTGGCAACGATGGGGGCCCAGGAGGTCGTTTCCCGGCCGTATATCTTACTGTCTTGAAACTCTTCAGCAGCACGTACAGGAAAACCAGTGCTGCCATAAATTGCACAGACCAGCTCGTGAGTACAGCAATGAGGTCCTCCATATCTCTCACCTCTATGTTTGGTGCAACGCGGATGAAAGCCCCGGACTGAAACAATGACTTCACTGATGATCGAGGCCAGAACACGGGATCCCAACAATTTGTGGTATTTGAAGTGTCACCGCAAGCTAAGCATGAAGATCCACGTCCATGCCAGCTGACTTCGGTTGTCCCGTGTTCGGGAAAAGTAATCTCTTTATTTTACTAATTATCTAGGAAAGGGTATCAGATCGTCCGAGAAAGGAGGCATGAAAAGGAAGATCAAAAAAGAATGTAAAAGCAATAATTAAAAAACAGATTGCAACACAGACATGCGAAGAACGGAGCCCGTATATGATTGGCTGGGCGCACGTTCGATTCCACTTGTACATTTCGAGGTAATGGCGATGAGGTAGGAGTCAATCTCATTTACAGCAGATGTTCGTAGTTTGGGGTGGAAGGGAATCTTGCAGATTGAGATTGATGAACAGTTTATCTGCAATGGAATAGCTGATGGAAAGTTATTCCGTCAGAAGTGAAAGACACGAAATCTGAAAGAAAGCTTATCTCTCAAATGAAAAGCCTTCAGCATTGTAATTTGGGTCACCTGTCTGAATCTAACATAAGCAGTGGTGGAAGGAGTTTATATACCCAAAGGATCACTTCTTTTTTGTGATGCTTATGCTCAAGGAAAGTCACAAAAGACATCATTCCCATAAAGTCCTGTCACAGATCCGAGAACATGTTGGATCTCATCCACTCAGATGTATTCGGTTAGATGCCTAACAAGTCTCTACAAGGTGCACAGTATCATGTAGCTTAGAAGATGATAAGAGTAGAAGAGTTTTCTGTACTTATTAAAAATCAAAAACGATGTGCTTGAGACATTTAAAGTTTTACTACAAAGGTAAACTCAGACTGAAAAAAAGTGACAAGGCTTAGATCTGATGGAGGACTCCATTACAAGAATAGGTATTTCTATTGTATCTTATTTGCAACCCAAGAACTAATCATACAGTTTGCTATAGGAATGTGCTTTTAAATAAGGATTCTGTAAAGCTGCAGTTGTCACCTTTCTCTTGGAAATCAACTTCATGGCAAATTCAGGTACAAAGTTGACTTTCTCCAGCACCATCGAATTCTCTTTGTCCTTGTGTTTGACTCTAAAAACAAAACAAGGATATTTTTTTCACTCCAAGAATCGGAGAATCATCATCATTTACTTATCCTATATATCTCAACAACTTCTTTATATGAGAGCTACATGCTGAATATAAATACCAACCACCAATTTCAGTTTCTCAGACTTTTTTTCTTTACTCATGTTGCTGAAATCACCCTCTTCAAAATTTGAACGAACTTTCTCTAGCAAGTTTGCTCTATCTAAGTATACTTGATTCTCCTATTCTAGTGAAGCAGGAGTGAAATTTTGCCACGTGAACGGTGATTTCAAAATCTTCATCACCAAAGCATTCATTCCTGCTCACAGATATTATTTTGCACCGTACATCCCATGCATAAGCAATATCTTCCACCATCTCCAAGTTGGTATTCTTGAGTCTTTGTTACAAAATCCTCAAAGTACCAAGATAATTGGACTGAAAAAGCTCATCACCAAAGCTCTTCTCGATGCTCTCAAGAGCAGAACCATAGTAATCTAATAACATATTCTTATCGTATTGTTCTCGTAAAAAAGAAGAAGTTATTTGTTGGAATTGACATATTATTATACATAGAAACAAATTGCAATAGAAAACTTGTGTCTAAATGAGTTTGAGGATTAAATGTGGAACCCGAGCTATTAGTTTTTTTAGAGATTTTTATTTCGATTTAACATGAAAGTTTCTTGAGTGTAATTTCTTTCTGGTCCATTTTACTGAGAAATTTCTTGACTTAGTCGTCTTCGAGCTGATAGGCATTAGATTGGTTGATACCTGTCCAAAACTCTTGCTCAAAAACATTGTACAGATGAGTTATTTATGGAAACGGCTAGTTATTCCTCACTTAGGGCTAATTAGCCTTCACTCTAATATATATAATTATCTGATATGCAAGGTTATAGTATGAGTAGCAACTATTTCCAAAATAGAGTCTTAGACCAATTAGAGACTAGTGTATAGTCGTGAGGGCTAATTAACCCTAAGTCAGGGATAACTAGACCCTCCCTTATTTATCTCAATATGTTATTCGCTTTTAGACATGGACTCACCCTATCGTGCATGTTTGTGGTGTGAGACCGATTAGTATCTACGCGAGTAGAACACACTAGGGATAGTGATTAGATTTCTAATACTAGAATTCTCTTGTCTTATATGCTTAAAACAAGTTGGCCATCTTTTCCTTTCATTCTAGGTCGAGTAGCGATGTGTACTCGATGTGTAATATACGAATCACTACTTATCTTAAATAAGTAGTGACTCGTGACTACAGATAAGTGATCTGTAGCCCGTCTTTCAGTAACTCAGTTGTTGAGTTTGAATATTACAACATGATATCAAGTCGTTTTTTTCCCTATGCTCTGCGGCCGCTGACTTGTGATTAAGAATCACGTTATTTGTTTCGTTACACCTCGAGCATTGTCTCATTTGAACTTACTAGAGAGTGGCATCCTTCCATACTTTCATCTTTTGTTACATCCCATATATGCACTCGGGTTATAACATAAAAAGTCCAAAAAGTGGGATTATCTACATATCCTTTATGAGTCCAACAATGCCATTGATGTCTCTTGATGATTGAATAGCTGGCCACACTTGAATTATGTGGTCCTCTTTTTATTCAGCAGTATTTTTAATCCATACAGACTCAAGATTCAGCTCGCAGCTATTGGTCACCACCCTTCCGATGGAGATTTAATGCATTGTATGTTTACAACTGGGCACCCTTTGTCAGTAAATTCAGCAACAATATTTCCCTAGACCCTTTGCCCAACTTTATAGATCTAGTTCAGTGCTGACGGTATTGCAAGAGTCAACTACCGCAAGTTGTGTTAGTTCCAACCTTTTTACCCACAAGTTTCATCACCTTCTTTCCGAGATAGAGGAAGTAATGGGTCAAATAGTCAAATTTTTCGTTGTGACTACTGCGGTAGACTCAATCACTGGCAAGCTGACTATGATCTCAAAAGATAGAAAATAATTGCTCAAAGACAGCTTTGCACATCCAATATGTGTCATGTTAAAGTCCAAGAAAAGGCTATCAAAGGATGTGACGGTAGTGCCTACAATACCATTGACTATGATCTCAAAAACCTAGTGTAAAGGGACTGATATACACAACCAACTTTGGAAGCCTAGTAGTAATGACGGTGACTCTTTCCAACTTTGAAATACTGTACTAGTAGCGATGATGTTGTCTCTTTCCAACTTCGAACTAGTAGTAGTGGTATTGAGGCTTTCTATTTTTGGAGTCCTAGTAACATCCTACTAGTCCTTAAGCTTGTTTGGATTACTGTATATATAGAGAATATCGGGACATTGTTACTCACTTTCTTCAACACCAGTTGAATCTACTCTTCTTGAGCGTTTTTTAAATCTTGTGTGAGAAATCATCTCACTTATGGTCTACTCTGATAATCTTTTGAGGTATGTTCTCAATCTAGTTCTTTTTTTATCATAGAATTTACGTATGTAACAGAGTGCATGTGCAGTCTTGTTCCCAAAAGTTTGTATCTAATATGATTTGAAGAGTTGTTATCCTAGAGTTTCATAAAGGGCTTTTCATAGATTTGTACCGACTCACTATTTTGTCAAGTCTAGTTGTTTTAGACATATATTTTCTCTTTGGAACACAGACTGATCTAAGATATATCATCATTCAACATAGAAGCAGGAATTCTATCTGAATTTTTGAGCTATTTATTTTCCGTGATCATCCCAAGGATACATGACTAGAAGATTTGCTACTTCATTTTCTTGTGAAGTAGCACCATGATATTTCTAACGTCCAAATTCATGACATGGTAGACATGCTGCAACAACGATAAAAAAAAAAGTAAGTTTACCAAATGTCATCTAATAGCTCCAAGTTGCTCATGCTCCAATCCATATTTCAGTTTTTGGAGCAAATCCGATTCCACAAGAATTAAAAGAAAATCAAATAAACTTGTTTGACAAGGATGACAAAGATCATACAAGATCTGAAAATCTTATCAATCAAGTTCATCTTGTTTTCAGTCTTCAACCACACATATATTTAACAGAAGAAACACAAGTTGTACTCATTGGAACACTCTTCACAAGAATCGCGTCATCTTGGTTATTGTCGATATTAGAGAAAAAACTCCACTTCTTACATACCTTGATCAATTCTTAGAAGAATTTAGTAGGACCTTTGGAGAAAGACATTGAGGTTTTATAACAAAAATAAAATTTCAAACATTGCAACCACAATCGTGCCCAACTTCAACTTATGTTGCAGAGTTTCATCAACTTGCATGTGACTTTCATTGGAACGATACGCCTCTCATCACCAAGTTTCAATGAAAACTCTACGACGATATCAATACCTTATTAGTGAACTTGCCCATATCGTTTACTTTGTTAGAAGTCACTATTGAAGCAATAGACAAGGACAACTTGCTGTTGCAGTACCGAAAAGAGTTACAATTGCTCTTTGGATCATATAAAGTGAATTATATATTTAAAGACAGTTGTAGGTAGGGCCAAGAGAGGACATCCTCTACTAGACTCCAGTGTGGCCATCAGAGCCCAACATTGAGTGCCATGCCCATGGGTTTTGGGTGACATTATTTTTCCATGGGTGGGCACAAGTACTGCTTTGTGTGGGCATATGTCGCTGCTAATGGTTATGGTCTGGTTGCAGATTTGAAGTAAAATATTGGACTCTGGTGGCCAGGGATTAACCATTACCACTCTCCCAAATTTCGGTTACCTGACAACTCCCTGGCCCAAATCGCTGAAAAATATGGACCCAGAGTATGGCTGGAACTGGGAGCTGTACGTATTGTGGTTGTATCTTCCTCGGATATGGCCAGGGATATTCTGAAACTCTAGATCACATCTTTGCCTACATGGATACTAGAAGATACGCTGCTTGCGAAAGGTCAGGATCTGTTGTTCAGTCCTTTGAACGACAACTTTCGTCTAGCCCGGAACCTCTTTCTCAACGGCGAAGAGACTTCAGGTACTAATCTTACATGGTTGTATATGAGTCTGTTCACTATCTCTTTTTAACACAGTGTTATAGAAGAGGTCTATTTTTGGTAATAGCCAATAATGTGAGGTGTCCTATAACTTATAGGACAACTCACATGTGGATCCAGTTATGCATCGCTGTGGTAATTGCTCTACGAAGTGCTGCTGATTTCTATCCTAGTAAACCAGAAGGAACTATTAATTCTTACTCTCTTCCGGGTTTTACATATAGTGTAAATTATTTTCTTCTTATGCCTTGCTAGTTCTTCACAACAGCAGAAAATATAGATCTTCGCAAGTATAGATCAATTTCTGTAGTATCTCTTAATTACGAGCTCTCGTTGAAATAACGATTCCCTCTGTGTAACGGGTGCAGCATGCCGACAATTTTTGCATTTATTGGACTTGCTGTTAGCTATGAGCAATTTTTCGCGTATCGATGTCTAACTCCTTCTGGTTTGGAATACTGTAGAGGCGGACCTGTTCCACTTGAATTTTCCACTGCATTACGGTTTTCTTCATTCTGATATTTTTTATGAACTATCGTAAGCGTGCACGTTAGGTTTCAAGATTTTTGCGTTGACTTGAGACTCTTTTCTCCTGCACATCCATCAGATTTCCATATTGATTTCAAGAATAATCTATTGCTTATACGGAACGATTGTTTATCGATATATTTGAAAAGCTGAGATTCGAAATTTTATTAGTAGGTAAACCAAGTCAAAAGTTACTCTAAATACTGTATAGTGTTTGCAATTTCTAGAAATTCCATATAGTCATCAATCTAGGTCTGGCGGATTCTTTCCGTACTCGAGGTCTGTCTGAATGTTAGAATCTTCGCATGCGATGGGCACTGTAACAAATGGTGTAACTTGAAGTAACCTGCGCATGTAAACACCTTCCTCAGTAGCTTCGGATAAAAGTTTTATACTCGGCCTGGATTGTACTGTCACACAGAAGTATGTTACTGTTTTGAAGACCAAGATATGGGGCCGTTAGCAAACTTGAACGAGTAAGCTCCAACTTATGTTTCAGCAAACGTCTTATGTTTCGCCAACTTAAGAAGTCGGCAATTGGGAAACCATGTAGAGATAGTATCCTGGAGTTCATAAAGGATGCCAAAGTGGCGAGTGAAGTTAACATATCTGAGAATATGATAGACCGAAATCCAGTAAGCTTATTGCGGCAAGTGCATATAGTAACTTATCAGTCCCACTGCATATCACAGATCAGATCTTCTGTGGCACAAGAAGATTAGCTTTCCTATTACATGACAATAAGCAGAGACAACGTATTAGTTCACGTTTGCATGATTGATGGTAAAAAATCGATCTGAAATGATAGATGTCATTAAAAAGGACTTCTAATTGATAAATAGTTCAAACTTTTCGTTCTCTCTGTTCTGTACTTGTATTTTTCCAACAGAAAGTAATGGTAAATGGTAAATAGATCAAGCCCGTGGGACCCAAAGTGTCGAAAGGCTAAAAAACACAATACAAACAATCCAACTCCAAACTAAGAGAGAACCAAAAGAAACCCCTAATGATAACAAGTGAACGTAACAGTTCAAGCTACGCAATCCTTCATCAACGTTGTAGTTTACATCTTAATTTGACAGCACAAATGGAGAGAAGACAAAATTCAAATTGTGTGACAACACGCGGCTAGCTGAGAGAATTGTGTATAATAACATTGGCAATAATTGGCAAATCAAAGTGCTATAACTGGGTACTGGCATTTATGCTGCAAGCTTGAGGAAACATCATATCCAAGGGCCAAGTTTGTGAAGCACATTTGTGCTGCCCAATGACATTGAAGGGTTATGAATTTGCAGCATAAGAACACCCGCGTTAAGTTTAGGGATATGAATATATTTGCCCTGATTGACAGGATTCTAGTCGTCCTACTCATGAAACTCATCAAGAACGAATGAGCGAGGTGAACTCTAATTCCTCAATCATCAGTGTCAAACTGGATAAGATTTTTTGCCTGACTAACAGTTTCAAGCTGTACCCGCCACGAACACAATGCATGTCAACTAGCACGAATGAACGATCCAGAAGCACCGCCTCTCGCTGAGCTGTTTTATTTATACGCACCAAGAGAGTATGGAATCTTGTTGTCGGACACTTTTGGAGTACTTTCTAGAAAGCGCATGGAGCGTTTCAAATCCAACTTACAGACTCTTTGTCATCAGGGACAGAAGGCCTCTATCTATTGAAGGAGAACAAGATTGAAATCTTGGCTATAAGCTAGTCAGGGGAATGATAATGAAGGAAGCATACGAAAGAATGTCGTCCTTTTAGATGAAATAACTAAGAACCTCGTAAACAACACTTTAAATGAAATAAAAACCGTCGATTGAAACAAGTTTTGTAAACGAATGCTTCAGATCGTTTACAAATTGCTTCGATATCGAAATATTTTCGTTTAAAATATGCTTCAAGATCCAGTCGATTTACAAGAAGAACGTCAAGCCATATCTATATTCCAGTCAAAGGAATAATCAACAGATTCAGAGCTTTTTCAAGAGAATATCCATCTGAGCTGGACCATCAAAGATCCTTCATTCTTGTCTACTGATGCTCCAAAAAAATACATGCCAGCACCTTCTTGAGCAGCAGCTAAGGAAAAGGTTCATATTACAGGTGAGTTTTGTACTTGCGGCAGGTACGTACTGGAGAGAATCAGAGGGGAAAATCTCTGTAGCGTATGCATTCTGCAATATACCGGAGATTCCATCCCTTCGACGTTCCATATCCATGCAGAGCCTTTCCGTGTGGATGTGTGTAATTATCAGGTGTACGTACAAATGTCTTTTGGATATTTTCGGCTCCAGCAAATGCATGCGCTGACAAGATGACGATTGTAGTTCTATCTCTCTATTGCCATTTCGCTCGCCATTGACTGGCCCAAACGTGTTCCCTGAAGTCTACCGGTGGTTACGCTCGAGCTCGAGCTGCCGACATCTCTTGGACTTCTGACTGCCGTAGAAGCCTGTATCCAAGAATTGGGAGACTGCTTAAAATATGCGCAGCTCCAATTATATACAGGCCACTTTAATCAGCGAATCAGATTCCAAGGAAAGGAGAGTTCCAGTACTACATCCCGAGTCCAAATCAGGAAGACGAGTAAAGATTTTGCGGCTAGGGAGTGTTAACTCTGTCTGCCTGTTAGCATTATCATTGATGTTGTAACATCTTTTCGTTACCTCCTGATGGTGGTTCTTTATCTTTACTACTTCTGAACATTTGAGTTACAAGGCAAATAGCTTGTAATAACATTTATTGCTAAAAGCCTCCTTCTGCAAGAAGATTTCCAATTTCAAGAAGTGGTCCCCATGTTCAAACATGAAGACGATAATCGCTTGAAGTCATGGCTGAGCTTCGCTCATGAAGAGAAATTTGCTAAAGCTTGTCTCCAAATATTCTATCTGCTGTTTCATCACAAACGTCGTTTCCTCTCAAGACATTCAAACAGCTTGCCGTCTCGAGCTGCTAGTAAGTTCATGAGCAGAAATTCCTTTTGATCAGCTGCTGTGTACAAACGTTGCAGTGGGGAGTTGACGATGTGAGATCTGAAGAATAAACGAGGTCTCACGCGAGCTGAATCAAGCTTTCAGCTGGTCATGATCTACCTCAGAACTTCATAGCTTGTGACCTATGAACGTTTACGTATCTATATTCCATTCACAAAAAGCATTCACTGACATGCACATGCTCTTCTTATACTTCATAATCACAAGCAGCTCCACCTGCCTCATACTTATCGTTTCTGTTTACGCTCCCAATACCTATAACTTTCATCTTCAAGCATGCAGATCAAATGGAGTGCTAAAATATATTTCTTGTTTCTACGAAATTTCCAGCGATTGTTCTCGTTGAATCTTAATGCGACGCCATCAGTAAGCACAAATCTGAAGGAATCGTCAGCCCAATGAAAACGAGCGGTCAAATATATAGATAAATAAATAAACACATATTAAAAAAAATGAACATGTCCAAAGCATTACTCGCAACAAAGATCGAACTCTTCACAGAAACGCCATGAATTTTCCCGCAGATTATGCCGTATAGTGATGATTCCAGTTCTTACATATACAAGAAAGTGTCCTTGCCACCTCTATAAATGTCTTCGAAAATGAAAACGTCGACAACGAACTAACGTACGTAGGAAGATCTTTCAAAACAATTCTACATTAGATCCACCGATCGCAGCTCGAATTCAGATGCCCCGTGATGCTGTTGCTGCTGCAGAAGAGAACTCCGCCTTCACGTCTAGGCCTCGCAGATGGAGACTTCGACATAAACACCAGGCTCGATGTTGACAGATGTGATTTGTTTGACAATCTGAGTGGAAGTGAAGAGATCGATCACGCGCTTGTGAACTCGGAGCTCGAAAGTGTCCCACGTGTTGGTCCCTTGGCCACAAGGGGACTTCCTGCTGGTGATGCGCATGGTCCTGTTGGGCATTCGAGCCGGTCCCTTGATTTTCAACCTCTTCTCCTTGGCATTCTTGATCAGCTCCGCGCAGACCTTCTCCAGGTCCTGCACGCTCTTGGACATGAAAGTGATGCGTATCCGGCAGAGCGCATGGTCCGGAAAGTCCCCGAGCTCGAGCTCTCCTGCTCGAGGTTTCGAGGAGTGCTTGCCTGCGAGCGCCATTCGCGAATGTGACCGATCGAAGTTCATTCTTGCAACTCTGAGCTCGTATTTCTTGGTCACCAGGTGGAAGACGAGGGCCAGGCTTGCAGAAGATCCTATGAGTCCCCGGCAATTGAAGATTTCTCGATGCTCGTCCCTCGTTCTCGTAAATTATATATCGCTGCCTGTGGCGGCTGCAAGGTCGTGTACCGCGTCGTATTTCTTTCGACTGACACCCTGCTACCACGTACAGACGAGGACTACGTCTCCGTGGTCGACTATGGTATAAATTCCAGTGCCTACAAGGGGCTCTGGGATGCCCATAGTCGCCGTCAACCTGGCCGACTGGCCGACTGGCCAACCTGGCAAATGCGTCACAAGTTAAAGTTGCGCGAAGTCTGTAACCTGGGAAGACCATGTGGACTTCAATGCAAGTTGCTGGCTATTCATGCTTAATCATTTGCAATGGATCCAGACGACTCCAAACTTCAGTTCCATGAAATCTCATGCGCGGAATTTCAGGAGGTTCTAAACTCCAGTTCCATGGTAGATTTCCATCGATAGAAATGTTCGGATATTGTGATGCGCGTTGACAGGTTTGTGTTCGAATTTGCAAGGTGACCATCCGAGACATAGCGGTAGATGGAGAAATGTGACATTGGTTTTGCAACGAATAGCTGTTACGAAGGAACTCATTAACTTGCATCGGGCACATGCATGCAACTTGTCGTCAGTGCAAGTATATAGCCGCTAGCTCGAGCTGAGAATTTGTAGCCGAGCAGGGGAATGTCATGGCAATGTCTCGAACCGATATATCAATCCGTCATTTAAGCATAGTCACGACACATCTGTGGTGCAACGGCATGGCGACAATCTATTGTGCAACGGCATGTTCCATTCCATATCTACCGCTATGACTTGGATGGTCACATTGCCAAAAAGATCTGGTGCAGCTCCAGCAGCTTCTTCTCGATGTCCTTCAGAGAGTCGTGCCGCTCCTGGATCTCAGCGAAGTTCTACGTTTAGTCGTTTCGTACCGTTTAGTTCTTCTGTCACATTTGCAAGTTCTATCGTTGTGTGTCGCCTTTCTGTACAAAAGTTGTGTGTCAAAATCAGCAGCAATCGTAGAGTCGCCTTTCTGTAAATCAGTTGTGTGTGAAAATCAGCAGCAAACCTCTATAGTCGCCTTTCTGTATCTCAGTTGTGTGTGAAAATCAGCAGCAAACCTCTATTGTCTCCATTCTGTAAATCAATTGTGTGTCCAAATCAGCAGCAGCGAGATGCCAGAGATGGAGCCGCATGCGTCATGACCTTCTGCGAGTTTCATGTACTTGCTCCAGGATACATGATACTCGCAGAAGGTCTAAGGTTAGCTGTCTTGATTCCTACTAGCTAGTCTTTCGGGTCTGAGTCAATGATCTTATTTCCTACTAGATACTACTACTGACACACGACACATACACCTCCTCCCCTTCGGGGGAGAGGTGTATGTGTAGTGTGCACACTGCAGGTACATTCGGAGGATGATTACATGCTTCGTCTGCACCGGGTCATACCTCGGGGCAGACGAAGCATATGTTGGTGGTTTACGGAGGGCAGGATTTATTCTCGCCTCCCGAAGGTGTGCTGGAATTCATGAGCTTCACACAGACTATGCCCCAGTCTGTGTACCCGCCTCACTATGCACATTTCGGCCTATGTCTGAGCGTGCACCGAGCGGACGATATGTATGGGCCGATCACAGGCTTTCTTCAAGACCCATACGGACCTGAAGAACCTGCGAAGCTATATGCCTCGCCCCGTCCCCGTCCCCCCTCACACATACACCTCTCTCACTTCAGGGGGAGAGGTGTATGTGTCATGTGTGTACACTGCAGGTTTATTCGGAGGATGCAAACATCCTCCGGAGACTTGTGACCGTATGGAGGAGGAGATGATTTCACAACAACTGGAGGAGGAGGAGATTTTGCAGGAGGAGGAGGAGACTTCATAACGATTGGAGGTGGTGGAGACTTATGTACGTATGGAGGAGGAGATGATTTCACTGGAGGTCGTCGAGAACTGTGTACGTATGGAGGAGGGGGGGTTTTCACAAAAACTGGAGGAGGAGAGATTGTGCTGGAGATGGTGGAGATTTCGGGACGTAGGGAGGAGGAGGAGATTTCGCTGGAGGATGGGAAAATTTCACAACAACTGGAGGAGATTTTGCAAGAGGTGGTGGAGAACTCGGGACGTAGGAAGGAGGAGGAGTTTTCGCTGTAGGACGGGGAGATTTCACAACAACTGGAGGAGGAGGAGATTTCACAGGTGGAGAGGGGGACTTCACAACCACGGGAGGAGGTGGCGATTTAGCCGGTGGTGGTGGCGACTGAGGTGTGTATGAAGGAGGGGGGGATTTCTCGGAGGTTGTGGAGACTTGGGAGTGTGAGGAGGAGGAGATTTTTCAGGAGGAGACTTGTTCTTGCAGGGGTTGCGGCCCTTGTATCCCGTTGAAGTGCAATCCTTGTCCTCAGCGTCTTTGCCGTTCTTGCCGTCGCCTTTGTATTTGCGGTCACTGCCGTCTTTGCCGTCGCCTTTGACCTGGCCGTCACTGCCGTCTTTGCCCTCACCTTATTTGCATTCAAGAATTAGGTGTGCGCCACGCATAGAAGCTGCAGTAAGACTTCCGCGAGGAAAGCTTCACACACAGTGTTCACTTTGACTTGAATTTCTTCGATGGTTTACGACGAGAGGCGGACAGAGTTGCTTTGCAGCTTCTTTTCTGTTAATATAAAACTGATCCTTTTTCCAAAAAGGTCAAGCTTGCAAAGGGAAAAACGTGCGGGCCCTCGGTTTTTGTTGAGGGTTATGAATCCGGAGGCTACTGCTAACCCTTTAAAATTCTTCCTGTACACTACATTGCATGAGATTATCTATCTTCTTGGAACAATTCCGTTACCAATTGTGGGAAGAGGTGTAAGGTTGAGCCCTCGTGCAAGGAACATAGTAGTATTTGGAGCATCGATCTCATGAACGTCATGACTTGTTCACTAGTTTCACGTGCATGACAAGTCCTGTAGGTTGTAGTTGTAACGCCAGTGACATGATTAGTTCACATTTTGGACCACTTGGCACCAGTTTGTGACACAATTGGCAACGAAGGTTCATTTGGGTTATTATAGTTCGAATTTTACTTCATCCGATCACATACGTCGTTTCACGTCATGAAACTCTTGACTTGTTCTGAAGGACTGCAACTCTGACGGCCAAGAAAGGGGACCATATTTGTTTCCCTCGGGTACCAAACCATTCACTTCATCTTAGCTCAGTGCAGCCAAAACTATTATTGTGGGCTGTCACCATTGACGACAACCTAGACCTTGCGCTGTCTTTCTTGATCGGACTTCAAAATGTTTAATGATTTCTCTCAGTCAACGCTCGAATCAACAGAATCCAAGTACCTCTTGTCTTCGTATTTTGGATGATATCGCGGGATGATGATTTGATGTTGATTTGATAGCAATCTTCTCTCTTCCTGTAGTCTCATCGAAAAGAGTCCTCTTGGTTTCAGACCATGGAAGCCTTCTTTGAAAGTTGGTTATTGTGTCAGATTTGAAACCAAGGCTATCGACATATGATGTGCAGGAACGTAAGAGACAACTCCAGGAGTCTAAGTTGTATTTTATTGATAGCTAAACTGATGACAACAGCCACATTGCTAGGGGGATGAGTACCTTTCTGACTAAAGATCAGAGTCGCTACCCGAGACCTCAATACGAGGTCTCTTAACTTGCTACCAGCTGTGCTTGCAATAATTAGAACTAAGGAAGTTTACAGTGTCAGCTTTTACAAGTGGGAAAAGTCCATATCAGGAATAGCACAAAGTTGGTCTATGGGTAAGAAAATGTTTATAATGAATAAAGTACGGATTCAAATAGCGATAATCAATTCTTGTAAAACTCCAGAAGTGACAGATCATCTATTTGTGCAACACATTCAATTCTTTTGAATCCCGCATCAGCTGCAAGCATCTTGAACTGGGCCAGTGTACGTTCCCTCCCATTTGAGTTGACTGCCATCATTGAAATATCTGTGCATAAGGAGATCTTGGTTGCAGGGGATGGATCCGAGTTGTCTGACAACACGTAGTCGAGGTTGATGACCTTGCCATGAGGAGGTAAAGCTCTCCATACGATTTTCAGTATCTTGACACATTTTTCGTCATCCCAATCATGCAGAATCCACTGTCCCCGTCCCACAAAGAAAGATAAAATTAGATCACCGACCATGCAACTCAGAATCACCCTGAGAAGCATTTAAAACAAAAGAATACTTCTTGCTTTAGAGATTGCAAATTCACACAATAGAGAGAAAAACGTGGCAACCCATTCTGTGCAATCGAAATTCCTACTCAGGAAACAATTATATTTTCTTTGCAGATCTAATACATATTCAAAGCAAGAGCAAGATACAGACCTTCATGAATACAGCATCGGCTTCAGGCACACTGGCAAAGAAGTCTCTACCAACGTGTTCCAAATCTGCAACACATATCGAGAGACCAGAATGTAGAGAAAGCTGAGTTTATTCCTGTGGAAATAGAGCTGTAGATAACAGTGTATACTATATGTCTGCAGTGTGTAATGAGGGAGGAAGGGAGAGACAACCGTACTTGGCACTTGCAGCCCGTCGGCTACAACATGTGGTTGGTCGAAATTGATTCCACGTAAATTCGGATACTTGGACAGAATCATGGCCAATGTAGCACCCAACCCACCGCCGACATCGACTAATGAGGTCAAGGTCTCAAAGCTTCTGTACTTCTTCAGTAATGCTGACATTTCTATGTGTGTGTGATCATGCATGGCTTTATTGAACAGCTTGTCAAATCTAGCATCGGTTGCAGCGTACTCGAAGGATTTCATCCCATGAACAAGAACGTGAGGTTCCACATTCACATCCAGAACTGGCAAGTGAAGGTATTGAAAGGTTGGTAGGATAACAGGATCAGTGGCCATAAGAAGAAATGGAGCTAGCAAAACTCCATCTTCGTTATCAGTGAAATACTTGAGAGTTGAAGTGGGTCCATAACTCCTCTGAGGACAGTCGGAGTCATTGCCATTCTTCGATACAATCTGTCACGACGTTGTGCGATGCCAAAACTCTCAAGATGCGATCCAAATTTGTGGCATCTGCACAGCGGTCCGAGAGCTTGGTAATGGACGTCGCAATGTCTTCAGCTGTAAGCTCAGCACCAGAACCTGCGTCCACCAAAATTTTGGGTACATCTAAATTCACAGCAGCTTTCAAACTGAATGGGAGGGCAAGCATCATAGCTATCTGCAAAGCTTTCAGCCTCCCAGCTTCGCATCTCCCAGGTTGTGCTGTGGACTCATATTTAGAACTGGTGACATATCGAACTCGAGTGTTGGACTTGCAGGACTCATCCGTTCCCTTAACTCCTACTTGAATCCTTCGTGAGAGAGGATTCCGAGATAAAGACAAAGAGAAGCTAATGACACTTGTGTTCCTACTCAAGCATCAAAGCAATTGCTTCCATATTTCCTTAACAAACCTTTGCAGTCTAAAAATAAATGAAATCTATTCAAAACTGAAGTTCTTCAGTTCTTCCATTCATCAAAATAATATCTTCCTTTTTTCTTCGATTGCCATGGAAGCTTTGATTCATGGGCTAGAATGACTTCCGCTGCTCCAAGGTTGTATTCTGTCTAGTGAAAGCATATGGATTCTAATAAAAGTGTTCATCATGACGAGAGTTTGATCACCCATATTCCCATTCCGGTATGGGAAGGATGTAGGATTCAATTACCAAAAAACCCTGCGTTCTACTGACTAAGGTCCTGTCAGTAAAGGAAGTTACAGAGTTATAGTTGTGCAATCTATACTCACCTCCAAGATTGAATTCAGAATTAAAAACTAAGAGTTTTGTTCTCCTCGTCAAGAAATTTGAGTTGCTTGATGCTATCAGTACTTGGCACTCTAATATTTGATATTATATCAAGTACCTTACACTCATGATCAGAACTTGCTTCAATCTTCCTCTGGTGATCAGAATTTGCTTCAATCTCCTTGTAGAGGTAACCGCTTCGGAGGTGTGAACATTTCCGATTTTTTCTTTATCGGCGGCGGTTACACTTGCAAAGTAGAACATTGGCTCTTCTATGCTCTTGAACTCCCTCTCCATCCTAACTCTCATGTTCTTTCTTCTGAATCCATTTTCTATTCAGTAGACCTCAAGCACATGGTGTCTATTTCTGAATTTACAATTTAACATCTGCAACTATATATCAAATCAAAATTCAGAATAATCGGAATTATTTCCAGCTGTAAACCCAAGCTCTCCATTTTCCATGTTAGTTTGCCAATTCTCGTTTTTCGTAGAACGATACTGGAACTGAAATTTCTCAAAACTACCTCCATTCGATAGCAATGAACCTGGACATATGAGGCCACAAATATCTTCTACGTCCAGCGTTTCCAAGCTGCTGCAGCTGCTAATTGCCTCCAGCACTTGAAGACTCACTTGGCTGCGCCACCCTGTGTTTGTCGAGAACGGTTCACCCTAGAGGAAGAAAACCTAAACTGCTGTAACATACGGAACATAGTCGGGAGGCCCAAATTGAATCAATGATATAAACCTGGCTTTTCTTACCATTATTCTAATCTATGTTATTCTAATAGCTAATTTTTGGAAAAAAATTATACAAAATTGGCTTTCCCTCCTATTAATCTAATTTTTTTCATTCAAATGATAAAAAAAAAAAACTAAAAAATTCTAATACTATTTTGCCATCTAAAAAACATCCGCCTAACAACATTCACAAAAATTTCCGAAATGATGAAGTGAAGCGGGATGGTTTGGAATATGATCCGAGCAAAAATGATCTTTTTTCAGTTCGCATATATAGAGCCGGCGAGCTACCGTCTGAGATCATTTGTTGATTAACACCCAAAATATTATATAAGGTAATTATAGATATGTATAAATATTGAGAGTTCTTCTTGTTCGAGTTTTTGACATGATAGTTTCGTCTTCCAGGACCGGGAACAGACGGTGGAAGGTTCTGCTTCGTGTCAAAGAGACTTCGGGACCAAAGTACTCTGCGTGAATGGTGGTGACCGAACCACCGTCGGGAAACGCTTCCTTTGACAAACAGTGCCACTTCCGAAGACTTGGAAGCTTTGACATGCGACCCTTCCGAATCACAATCATCATGATCCTGGATGCTCATACGTGCATGCTTCTCAGCAATGACGAGGCCTGGGCCTAATCTCTACCTCCAACCAGATCAAACGATTGGCATTCCAGACTAGTTAAATTGGCGATCGTGTCCAGACACCATCCGGCTGAGCTCTTGCCGCTCGCGGAGGACTGCCATTGATGAATGGGAAACGGGTCAAACCGAGGCTTCCAAGTTCCCACAAAAACGAAAAGCAAAAACGCACCAACTCCGTGAGTTTTTCTTCGTTCTCTCACAGACCCAGATTTAAGTCTGTAGGAGTCTGTCACCCGTCAAGTCTCGACATTCAGTACTTAAATATCAGATCCGTTCCATGGGTAGATCCACGGTCGCACCTTTCCCCCCCTGCCCTGGTGTGACCCGTGTTTGTACCCACAGTGTAAACCTCCAGCTGGCACCCTCGACTCCACCATTTCAGCTTGTACAAGACCATGCAACAAGAACCAAAGCACGTGAAGCTGTAAATGTTGTAAACTGCGATTGACTTCAATGCCTTAGGGGGGGATGTACTATACTGCGAGTGAACACATGACCTTCTACTTCTGTGCGTCACACTTTTCAATAAAGAACCTAAAAGTAGAATAGTGAAATCAATCTGATAACGAAGGCTCGGATTGCTCAACGGCGGGTATCCTTTCACAGTCTTCAACGGTATCGGCCACTAAAGCTCTCTCCAGAATGCTCTTTTGAAATTCGTCGTCTGTAAAATTCGATTTGAGATATTAGTTGGAAATATCACTTGTAGGAGTGGCAGACGCTTTAGAGAATTTTCAATCAAGAGACAAAATCCCTGCTTGCTTAGCTTCTTCACAATCTCGAAGGCGATTGTACCAATATAGCCCAGCTAACCTTGTGAATCACTTCCTTCTCTTCAGGATTGGAAATACAATATATAATAGATATCGCCTAAACTTTATAGTAAACAGATATAATATTGCACATATGTGCTTTCCAGGTCCCCTTCACTATATCTCATCCGGGACTGGGAGGGCTGTGAAGAACATTGCAGAACACAGCATCTTCGGTTGATCCTTCGCCTTGGATACGTCATGGACTGTAAGTAGCATCGGCATTTACTGATACAAGGTGATTGCGAAATCGGATGATATATAAGGCGGTTTGAGTGGGCTCCTTCTCAGATCACTTGAAGGTCCGATTTCCTGCATAGAAGTGCGCCTGACCACAACTGCAACGACCAACACTCGAGTTCGATATGTCACCAGTTCTAAAAATGAGTCCGCAGAACCTGGGAGATGACGAAGCTGGGAGGCTGAAAGCTTTGCAGATAGCTATGATGCTTGCCCTCCCATTCAGTTTGAAAGCTGCTGTGAACTTAGGTGTACCCAAAATTTTGGTGGACGCAGGTTCTGGAGCTGAGCTTACAGCTGAAGACATTGCGACGTCCATTACCAAGCTCTCGGACCGCTGTGCAGATGCTACAAATTTGGAGCGCATCTTGAGAGTGTTGGCATCGCACAACGTCGTGACAGAGATTGTATCGAAGAATGGCAATGACTCCGACTGTTCTCATAGGAGTTATGGACCCACTTCAACTCTCAAGTACTTCACTGATAACGAAGATGGAGTTTCGCTAGCTCCATTTCTTCTTATGGCCACTGATCCTGTTACCCTACCAGCCTTTCAATACCTTCACTTGCCAGTTCTGGATGTGAATGTGGAGCCTCACGTTCTTGTTCATGGGATGAAACTCTTCGAGTACGCTGCAACCGATGCTAGATTTAGCAAGCTGTTCAATAAAGCCATGCATGATCACACACACATAGAAATGTCAGCATTACTGAAGAAGTACAGAGGCTTTGAGACCTTGACCTCATTAGTCGATGTCGGCGGTGGGCTGGGTGCTACATTGGCCATGATTCTGCCCAAGTACCCGAAAATACGCGGAATCAATTTCGACCAACCACATGTTGTAGCTGATGGGCTGCAAGTGCCAAGTACGGTTGTCTCTCCCTTCCTTCCTCATTACATACTGCAGACATATAGTATACACTGTTATCTACAGCTCTATATCCACAGGAATGAACTCAGCTTTCTCAACATTCTGGCCTTTCGATATGTGTTGCAGATTTGGAACACGTTGGTGGAGACTTCTTTGCCAGTGTGCCTGAAGCCGATGCTGTATTTATGAAGGTCTGTATCTTGCTCTTGCCTTAAAGATGTGTAAGATCTGCAAAAAGAATATAATTCTTTCTTGAATAGGAATTTCAATAGCACAGAATGGGTTGCCACGTTTGTCTCTCTCTCTTGTGTGAATTTGCAATCTCGAAAGCAAGAAATATTTTTTTTCAAAAAATGCTTCTCAGGGTGATTCTGGAATGCATGGTCGCTGATCTAAGTTCATCTCTCCTTGTGGGACGGGGACAGTGGATTCTGCATGATTGGGATGACGAACGATGTGGTAAGATACTGAAGAACGTCTGGAGAGCTTTACCTCCTCATGGCAAGCTCATCAACCTCGACTACGTGTTGTCAGACACCTCAGATCCATCCCCTGCAACCAAGATCTCCTTATGCACAGATATTTCAATGATGGCAGTCAACTCCAATGGGAGGGAACGTACACTGGCCCAGTTCAAGACGCTTGCAGCTGATGCGGGATTCAAAAGAGTTGAATGTGTTGCACAAACAGACAATCTGTCACTTCTGGAGTTTTACAAGAATTGATTATCGCTCTTTGAATCCGGACTTTATTCATTATAAAAGCTCTTCTTACGCCTAAACCATTTTTGTTTTATTCCTGATATGGACATTACCCACTTGTAAAAGCTGCCATTGTACATCATTAGTCATACCAATAACATCGGCATTACATATCATATCTCTCAATATAGAACTATTTCAACAACTACCGATTCTTCTCATGGATTCGATGCAACTTGAGAAAAATACCAGCATAAATATTGTTTGCAAAGGTACTTTCATGATAGTGCTAATTGTAATAATTGATAAATATCGAAATGGAGCATAATGTTATAGATCCGATATCACGAGGACAGAAACAATACCAGAGATTCATTTACTATCAAGAATTAACATTTTAGTCACAAGTTTTACTTCTCAGACACATGTTAATACCAAAAGCATCTGCAATTGCTAAGCCGAAAGCAACACAAATGCAGGGTGTAATTACATCCAAATCCTTGTCATCCAATAGACACCACAGAAATTGCAAGCGATTCTGCAATTGATATTTAGGAAGAGAAACTTTTCAAAATTAGAAGCTCAACCGGTTACACCGAACACCCAATCTACAGGTTTGTTTAAATCCTTAGTTACATTATGCACCACTCAGAACACCCGAATTGGACACTCTACTTCAGATGCGATATCTTCAATCAAACGGAAGCAACTCTCACACTGTGACAAAACGCACAATTCATGATCGTGCGGAGGAATGTAGACTTAAGATTGAAAACTGACTCATGAAAAAGCCCCCAAAGGTAGAGCCTTGAGACTCTTTATTCACATCGAATCTTTGGAGGCATCATCCGTTAACTACGAGCTCCCATTAGGTGCGATGTCCACAGATGCGGCAGTTGTCACACCCGTAGAGCTCATGTCTACTTCTATCCTACTCAAGCTCTAACTTTAAATTCTCTCTAGCCTTTTCTAAACCGGAAATGAAAGAACTAACCATTCTAACTAATTGTCGATGTCCTACATCTTTGCTATTTACCAATACTTTTAATCTACAGTCCAGCGAATCCAATTTTGTCCACTTTGTGGTTTGGATCTCCCAATTTACATAACTTCGAAGACATCGCTCTACTCTAGTGCACAAACCAGCATCCGTCTGCTATTTGAGATGTTGGCCAGTCGTTTCTGTATCCACCAATTTCGCTTGAGCCACGACCAATTACTCCTCAACTTCCGACACTTGAAATCGCACTCTGTTACAATCTGCGTCCAACTCCTTTCCACACTCTAACTTTGAAATTTGGGCAACTTTGCAATCAGCTAATCGATTATTCCAACAAGCTAATTTGGCAGCCTTTGACCAATCCCGGGCCCCCAGATTCACTGTTAGCTTCTTTGTGCGATGAAGTTTACTCTCAAATGCTGCTCGAGACACTTCCAATTTGTTCCGAATGTCTACCGTTGCCTTCTACGCAGTGCAAATGTCAACCAGAAGGCCCTTGCACTCTAGCTCCTTCTGCGTACAAAGGCTTCGCTCAGCATCTAACTCTCGCCAAAGTTCTTCGCACTCCAACTCCTTTGCCCGAAGTTTACTTTCCCGCTCCTACAAGATAACTGTCATAATCGTAACTTGGAAGTCAAGCTTGCAACTCGTTCTGTTATCTTAGTAATTGTTGCCAACTTCGCCTTCGTACTTCTGTGCACTAACTCTACATAAGATCCTATTGCATACGATGGCACCAAGTATTTTGCCATCTTCCTATCTAAGTACTTCCTACGGCACTGACGGCAAGGACAAAGGTGAGGGCAATGTCGGCAGTGACAACAAAGACAAAGATGATGGCAAGGACAAAGGCGACCGCAATGACAAATGTGAGGGCAAAGATGATGAGGACAAGGATTGCACTTCAACGGGATACAAGGGCTGCAACCCCTGCAAGAACAAGTCTCCTCTTGGAATATCTCCCCCTCCCCATACTCCCAAGTCTCCAACATCTCCGAAGAAATTCCCCCGTCCTTCATACACATCTCGGTGGCCACCACCACCACCTAAATCGCCACCTCCTCCCGTGGTTGTGAAGTCCCACCCTCCACATGTGAAATCTACTACTCCTCCAATTGTTGTGAAATCTCCCCGTAATCCAGCGAAATCTTCTCCACTCTACGTCCCGAGTTCTCCACCATCTCCTGCAAATTCTCTCCTCCTCCGGTTGTTTTGAAATCTTCCCCTCCTCCCTACGTCCCGAGTTCTCCACCATCTCCTGCAAAATCTCTCCTCCTCCAGTTGTTTTGAAATCTCCCCCTCCTCCCTACGTCCCGAGTTCTCCACCATCTCCAGCAGAATCTCTACTCCTCCAATTTTTTGGAAAACCCCCCTCCTCCATACCTACACATGTCTCCACCACCTCGAGTCGTTGTTTAAGTCTCCTCCTCCTTCCTCTCCCTACGTCCCGAGTTCTCCACCATCTTCGGCAAAATCTCTCCTCCTCCAGTTTTTGTGAAAACCCCCCCTCCTCCATACGTACACAGTTCTCCACCACCTCCAGTCGTTGTGAAGTCTCCTCCTCCCTACGTCCGGAGTTCTCCACCACCTCCTGCAAAATCTCCTCCTCCTCCAGTTGTTGTGAAATCATCTCCTCCTCCATACGGTCACAAGTCTCCGGAGGATGTAAACATCCTCCGGATATACCTGCAGTAGTGTACACACATGACACATACAGCTCTCTCCGTGAAGTGAGAGAGGTGTATGTGTGAGGGGGGACGGAGACGGGAGCGGGGCGAAGCATATAGCTTCGCAGGTTCTTCAGGTCCGTATGGGTCTTGAAGAAATCCTGTGATCGGCCCATACATATCGTCCGCTCGGTGCACGCTCAGACATAGGTCAAAATGTGCATAGTGAGGCGGGTACACAGACTGGGGCATAGTCTGTTTGAAGCTCATGAATTCCAGCGCACCTTCGGGAGGCGAGAATAAATCCTGCCCTCCGTAAACCACCAACATATGCTTCGTATGCCCCGAGGTATGACCCGGTGCAGACGAAGCATGTAATCGTCCTCCAAATGTACCTGCAGTGTGCACACTACACATACACCTCTTCCCCGAAGGGGAGGAGGTGTATGTGTCGTGTGTGTGTGTCGTGTGTCAGTAGTAGTATCTAGTAGGAAATAAGATCATTGACTCAGACCCGAAAGACTAGCTAGTAGGAATTAAGACAGCTAACCTTAGACCTTCTGCGAGTATCATGTATCCTGGAGCAAGTACATGAAACTCGCAGAAGGTCATCGACGCATGCGGCTCCATCTCTGGCATCTCGCTGCTGCTGATTTGGACACACAATTGATTTACAGAATGGAGACAATAGAGGTTTGCTGCTGATTTTCACACACAACTGAGATACAGAAAGGCGACTATAGAGGTTTGCTGCTGATTTTCACACACAACTGAGATACAGAAAGGCGACTATAGAGGTTTGCTGCTGATTTTCACACACAACTGATTTACAGAAAGGCGACTATACGATTGCTGCTGATTTTGACACACAACTTTTGTACAGAAAGGCGACACACAACGATAGAACTTGCAAATGTGACAGAAGAACTAAACGGTACGAAACGACTAAACGTAGAACTTCGCTGAGATCCAGGAGCGGCACGACTCTGTGAAGTACATCGAGAAGAAACTGCTGGAGCTGCACCAGATCTTTTTGGCAAGGTGACCATCCAAGTCATAGCGGTAGATAGAGAAATGGGACATGCCGTTGCACAAAAGATGTGTCGTGACAATGCAAGATTAACGGATTGATATATCGGTTCGAGACATTGCCATGACATTCTCCTGCTCGGCTACAAATTCTCAGCTCGAGCTAGCGACTATATACTTGCAATAACGACAAGTTGCATGAATGTGCCCGTTGCAAGTTAATGAGTTTCCTTCGTAACAGCTGTTCATTGCAAAACCGATGTCCCATTTCTCTATCTACCGTTATGACTCGGATGGTCACCTTGCAAATTTGAACACAAACCTGTCAACGCGCATCACAATATCCGAACATTTCATTCGATTTCAAACTCGCCATCATGGAATTGGATTTTAGAACCTCCTGAAATTCCACGCATGGGATTTCTCTGGAACTGAAGTTTGGAGTCGTCTGGATCCTTGCAAATGAGTCACAAGTTAAAGTTGCGCGAAGACTGTAACCTGGGAAGACCATGTGGACTTCAGTGCAAGTTGCACGCTATTCATGCTCAACGATATTTGATGAAATGAGCGGATAGGGACGTGCTACTCCTCAGTTGTGAGGAGTGTAAGCCAACCCATTTCACCAATCCTTCATTCTCTTGATAGAGCAGTCACTGTAACGTTATGAGAGAACGGGTGATTCGAAGTGATTAATTTGAGACCCACACGAACAAAATCTTCAATAACTATTCAGAGCATTTCCTTACAGCCGTGGGGCACTCCGACAAGGAACGAACTGAACTAGTTCAAGCAAGCAAGTCTTGTTTGCTTGTGACTGTGTACTGGCCTTTAGCTGTGTACTATACCGGAAACGACGGTAATCTGCATAAATACATAACATTTATATAGGTGTATGTCTTTCCCGCTTTCGTTGTCCTCTTGCTTGGTGATCGTCCGCTGTTCATGTATTAAACCATGGTTATAGAGAGACCATGAAAGTATAATGTCACCAATTAGTGTTTTGATTGAGTATCCATGAACCCTCAAATACACGAATAAACGAAGGAACGAGCACTGTAAAAAACCAGACTTCTTCATAGTGACCTTCGACGCTGTGAAGGCGTCTGGTTTTCTAAACTGCTATTGTCGTTAGTGTTATCGGTCACGGAGCCATAGATCTCTGCTCCGTGACGAGGGATCTATGGCAAAGACCCCTACTGCGTGACCCTTTCTCCTACCCGCACAATTTCTGCAGAAACTGTTGTGTTGAAATTGCTGCCGTGCCCGATGAATCTATATTTACAGTCTTAGTGTATTCGGCATATGCCAGACTCTGAACTACTCAATATTCTAGTTAGCATGGGCGAACACAACCACGACGACTAATTACCACTGCGACACAGTGGGCTGGGTTTCACACACACCCCTGGGTTTCAAAACCTCATTTAGAGAAAATACCTTGAAGCATACAACTCAAAACAATTTTGATGATCATTTTTGTTCCAACCGACAGGTTGCTGTAATCCTGTTATTTCTGGTTATTTATCAAAAACTGGTTTGAAAATTTGGAGGTCCTACATGTCACTCCGACTAAACATGTTTGTGAGGTCACTATAATGTCCACAAGAAAGTTACTGCCTATATTTAATAAGTAATGAAGCTAGTATTTCAAGGATGATGTCCATCCGAAGAATTGGCGTAATCAAATTGAACTCTACTTTCCTATTTTATATAGACATTAGTTTACTGCAGAGTCATCAAGTCGTTGTAGTATAGTGGTAAGTATTCCCGCCTGTCACGCGGGTGACCCGGGTTCGATCCCCGGCAGCGGCGCATGCAAGGCCTTAATGGCTTTATGTCAGTTTTGGTGCTCATTCCAGTGAGCTGGTCTAACCATTTGGGTAGCATCAGATCCTCTACTATGAAACGTTTCCCGGGGAATTACACCTTTTTGTCAGTTGATTCCGGCGGTGCTCTTCAATACCGCTGGAATCAAGTGATAGAAAGTTGTTCATCCCCGTTGCTCTTCAGTTAAGGGGTTGTACTCCGACTTGCGATGTCATTGTTGTGTTACTGAGCTTTTCATACTGGTATTGGTGGTGGCGACGCCAAACAGATTCTATAAGAGCTATGTGACTGAACGTATAATGGTAGAGGGAAACACTCCTGCAGCTCCTAACCTGGCAGGACATTGAGATAGTAATTTCAAGGAAGTCATCTACAACTCAAGCTCTATCTGAAAGATTCTCTTCGGCTTCGTCACCAAGACCAGTATGAAAAGCTCGGTGAACGGTGAACTACCATTCGAGGTCTTAACGAACTGGTCTTCACTTTGAGTTTTCGTGCACCGGTCTCTAACAAGTCTATAACAACCCACAAATTCTATTCTTTGGTCCTCCGGACCAAAGAAAAGAATTCGGCTTGTAATAATCCAATATCCGGCTTGTAACTCTCAGAAGTAAGGACGCTGTATACACAGGCTACAATGGGAGTTGTTCTGGCTCGTTTGTGCTATCTGTCCAGTTTCCGAAATGTTCTGTTCTCCACAGGGAGCATCTGTCACCTCAACATGCCCCTAATCGTGATCGTGCTCCATGTGCAATATCACATCGACAATCAGCTTCATTCGAACAGGAGGAAGCAGCCGGAGCTCTTCAATTCATACGATCATTCAGTCTCCTTGATACCTGTCAGTGTTACATCATAGACTTGATGGCAATCGAGACCAGTCCGGGTAGAGAAACAAATTTGATGATCGGACACCAGATAGTTTTGATGATTCGGTGAAGGAATATCATGATACATTGGATAACGTGATCGACTGCTCATGCCCTACTATTCCTACTGCTCAAAATGGGCAAAATAATCCTGGGGCCCCGTAGGACCCCGCATTGCAATCCATGCTAGCTCCAGGTATAACCTATCAGAAGCACTAACTAATGGAGGGAGGGGACTGTAGGGGAGGGGACAAAAGACGAGCTGAAACCTAATAAGAATCCAGGTCTCGAGGTCAGAAGTATAAGCTTGAGATGTTCTGTACAACAGATGAGGCTCCGACTAGTTCAATCTAACAATGGAGGGATGGAGGTACTAAACAGCTCGAGGGATTCGATCACTTTTGCCAGGGCTTGACGGTGGCGAGCACAATAATGAGGATGATGATCAGCAAGAGAATGACTGCATAACACATGCACTTACGGGTCCCCTTCTGCAGCTTTCTCGCTTGCCCAAGCGCGACACCACCACGTGCCACGTAGTCTTGAGCTGTAGAGACATTCTTCGAGATGTTGTCGAGCAGCTCACCCTGAGCCTCGACCAACACAGCCATGTCCAGAAAGATCTGGTGCAGCTCCAGCAGCTTCTTCTCGATGTCCTTCACAGAGTCGTGCCGCTCCTGGATCTCAGCGATCGTGTCCAGAATTTGACCTCGCCCTTGAGCCTGAATGGCCTTTTGGAAGATTTGCTCGCTGTTGCCAGTTTCGATCAGCTGATCAATCATCTCCTCGTCGGCCTTCTGCCCTGTAACGGTGAAAACACGCCTCTCCACCACTTGGCGATACTCGTCGTTGAAGGACTGCCGAAGGTTCACGAATTGAGTCATCAGGTCTTTCAGCTTCACCTTCAGACCGGCAGTGAGCCCCATCCGAGTGCGATCGGTGCTTGTGCCTTCACCGCAATTAGGTTTCTTCCTGCTCGCCAAATTCGACCGATCCAGCGCTTCGATTTTGCCTTTGATATGCCGAACCACCTTGCTCACATCGTCCAGGTCCCGTGCCATACGCTCCTTCAGGGCCTTCAGGGCTTTGGCATTCGTCAGCGTTTGAGACTCCTGGTGCGCTTCCTCCAGCTTCTTCAGCAGCGACGTGATCTGCGACAAATCCCCTTGAATCGCAGCTTCTTCGCGGAAGAACTCGTCCATGCCGGGGTCCCCTTCAGCCTCGTTCTCCTCGCGCCCTGCCTCCACGTCCCGCTTCTTCTTCTTCCCGTTCGTGCTCATTTCGACGCTGCCTGCGGTCCTCCCGCCCCCAGCTGCAGAAAACTCCCGACTGGAGTCTCCCAGAAGATCGTTCATGATTGCGCGCTGCTGCTGCCTCCTGATCGATTAGCCTGCTGCTACACAACCGACTCCCGTTCACCTCAAGCCGCCTGACCAACCAACCACCTCCCCTCCTCCCACTACCAGCACGAACAATCTGCAATCTCGGCTTTCGACGAATGATCGAGCAACGCAGCGAAGAGAGCCAAATCGGAAATGCACCTGTGCTAATTACTACACAGGCATCTCGATCATCATCCAGGCCCGACAGAGGAATCGACCGACCCAATTTTTTTCCACAAATATACGCTCACCACTCCCGCTCCCACTCCCTGCCTCCCTCCGTCGTCGAGAACAGGGCGCAAATCCAGCAACCGAAAGCTCTCAGTTTTTGCGAAGAACTCGTCTCCCTGCACAGGTCCACGGAAGCCTTGCTAACCTGCTGCTGCTGCTGCCGCCGCCGCCGAATCTAGTGCTCCTCGTCCGTGCAATCCGGTGCGAGGCAGTACAATTAATCGAGAGATCAGAAGCCCGCGGTTATATAAGAGCGCAGCCCCGAGCTGAGGAAGATCAGTCGGCTCGTGTGTTGTTCGCGCGTTGTCGACTCGGTCAGTCCCGGGGCTCGATGCCTTTGCTTGACTGTCACTCAGTGTTCCCAGTCCCCCGTCCCGCGTCCCGCCCTCACTCCAGCCTTCCTTCCTTCCTTGACTCGAAATGGTCTCCGCCCCATGCCGGAATCCTTCCATGGCTTCGGGCCCTGCCGCAGTCAGCAACTGGCTTGGCGCATTCTTTTTGCATTTCGCCACTTGCGGCGAGTCCGTCAGTCAGTCGGTCAGGCAGGGCCTCTGCCCGCCTGATTACAGCCCCATAATCATGCTGCGTAGCTTAACCCAGTTCCTGACGCACTCTGATGTCCAGTGAGCGATCTGCCTCATGCTGTACAGGGAGGGAGGCAGGGAGGGAGGGCCTTCAGGTTGCAGAGCTGCAGGGCTGCAGGCTTTTCCAAGTACCTCCCGAGGCTGTCTGTCCCGGAACAGACGTGGGTTCTCTCAGTCTGCGAACAATTTGCTGATTCGGAAAATCTGCGGTTCTAATTCTTCCGAGACTATTGCTCATCTGTAAGATCTCGTCATCGAGAATTACAGATCTGAGTACGGACTGTTTCGTGCTCGCTTGCTCTTTTGTCTTCAGTGTAAGTTTTGCAGCTTTTGCTCCTCCCTTCCAGAGAGTCCAGAGCTTGTTGTTATCGATGACCAGCTGAGGTTCTTTTTCTCGTGTGATTCTGTGCTTTTGTAGTCTTCCTTATAGTTGCCATATTCATGTTCGATGTCCGAGTGATTACTCTCTTGAGGTGAAAGACTTCATCAGTTGCTACGAAGAATTTGTCGGGTCATTTAGCTGCTCTGGCTTGGGACGAATTTTTTAGAGTCGGTGTTTACACTGGGGAGTGACGAGCAGGAGCGTTCTCTACTTCTCATTTGAGCCGAGCCGGACATCGACTGCCAACTTGACTCGAGGTGGACTATCAGCTATGAAGAGAGTGCAGAAAGGGCTGCTTTGGCTCCACGCGACGGCCTGCTGCTTTTGAGACTGAGATTCCGACGGGGCCAACTAGTGAAAGCTCGTAACCCCACTCAATGGTATCTCCAAATGAGCGAATGAAATCCGCTGGCCACTTTCTCCGATGTGCTCAATCGGACGCAAAGCCTCCTTCCATCAAACTGTATCCAGCTCCTGATAATACTCTCCTGTCTCGCCTTGGGCTCTTCCGAGTCAACGGGGGAACGCGTTAAATGGAGGGGACCACGACACCTTTCGTTTCGATTCGATCGCTTTCATCGAGAGAAAGTGATGAGCTGAAGACTTTCTCTCAGAGCTGAAGCTGGAAGCTTGCGAGAAACATCAATGGAAAATTGGGACGACGAGGCTCTGTGGATTTGTGCATAAGTGGATTTAGTGGATTTGAGGATTTGTGGATTTTGCGGATTTGTGGATTTGTGCTGGTGCGAGGTCGAAGAGTCGTCTCTCGCGGAAGCCCGAGCCCGAAGCAAAGCGCAGGACACGGCCTGTCTGGACGGCATCTTCGGGTCTGTGAACCACGTGACACAGACAGACCTGACACGTCAGACTCCAGCGGCTGACCGAGTTTCCAGACCCGTGATGACTCACTCACTCACTCACTTACTCACAGGACCGAGTCGGGACCGCGGTCAGGTCTGTTCACTCGAGGGTGAGGTCACACTCCTTGATCGGGGTTAGGCGAGGCCTGGCCCCGATGATTGATTACCCTCTTGCTGAAAACAACCTCCCTGCATAATTCAAGGAGTCAAAATTTTCCATGAGTTGCCAGTTGACGTGAAATGTCGATTTGTCACACAGCTCCACCCGCAATTCATCTGAACAGTCAAGTATCCCACATTGCCACAGAATTGCCCCTTTCCATATTCCAGCCTGCCGCATGGTCTTTGCTTCTCTGCTTCCCTTTTCTCTCTTCTTCTCTTGCTCCCTTTCTATTATCTTTTCTTTTCTTTTCTTTCTCCCTCTACTTCCATACTTCGCTAGAGATTGGCCCAAAGTGGTTGGCATGTCACCCTTAGATGACATCCAGTTGATCATAATGTTAACTTGATGTCAATATGTTTCAAGGCAAGGCTGGAGTTGGCATTTTTGTTTTGTGACGTATGTGTGTATAATATTCTCTGTATGTATAGTCCATCACTTTTATCGCATCTATAATTATTGGATTAAACATGATGACAACCCTCGTCCTCGAAGAAACTATCACAACAAAAACAGATTCTGCGCTTGTTATGAACAAACCACTCAAATAAGACACATCTTCATATCATATGAACTACTTTTCGGTGCTTAGTAATGTGCATAATTGCAAGAGAATTATATGGATAGGATCATTTTGTTTCAATCAGTCCTTTTATTTCTTGTTTCTATGCTGATATGGGTAAAAGACTATAAAAGTCAAAATATAAAATTTTATGAATTATAGGATTTTTGATACTCAGTAGTTTCCATGTGAAGTGAGATGAGATAAAGTATCATGTGTACTCTTTTTTTATGTGTGCTAACTGGCTCTTAATTTTTCTCCTTGAAACTCACATGGTGTTGTGCGATACATAATGGCAAATGATAGATTGTCTATTAGTTTTGAGCACTTTATGAGGACAAAGTTGATAAACAGTTACAAGGGTTATATTCATTCTGCATGCGCTCGTGAGGTGAATAATCTTATCATCATCAATATTTGATAATTCAAGAATTACCCAAATTTTATTGGTATTTCTGTTGTTATGTAGTTCTTGATCCATTTGTGAAAATGATGAAGATGATCACACGGATCTTTCTTTAAACAGTCTAGAAAAGCATAAGGATTTCACCAAGTCTGCATGTTTTATATATATTTTAAATTCCTTAGCATAGTAATTAGAGAGAAACATAATTATTCTTTTGCCGTTGAAACTCAACGATATAAATGTCTAGATTAATTTCAAGTTTCAGAAAACATAATAAGTTTTTTTATTCATCGCTTTGGTAATTAATTAATAAATAGTCTCATTTTTAACAACTTATATACATATTGTGAATTTAGATTAGCATATAAAATATTTAGTTCATGAATTATTCATGTTGTTTCATCTTGTAGGCTTGAAAATCAAAATATATGAGAAAATTTCATATATTTTGATTATTGAAAATTTCTTTTCTAAATATGATTAATGATTTAATGTGAGAAATAAACGAAAAATCATTCATACTAAAATTGAATGAAATTACTTTTTCCTCATATTATATAGATTTCACACTCACCAAAAATATATTAACAATTATACATTTTTTAAATAAAGAATCCACAATAGTCTATTTTGTAAATGTCATTTATTTGCAAGTCTACTTTTATATCTGCATCTATTTCATAATTGAGATTTTCTAATAATAAGATCATGGCTTTCTTTGATGATATAACTGAAACAATAATCTTTGAGCATTTGACATGAAAACATTGCTGATAAATAATCCATGAATGTTATACTTTTGTTATTTAAACAACACTGTCATTTTCTCTTGCAGCTTGTAATGTTATGAGCTTACTATTTGTGCACTTCATAGTATTAAAGAAAAAATTATTTTAAATCAAGTAATTCAATGTATTTGGATCAGAATTTCTGAAGACCTTATTGCGGACATTGTCTTCAATTTTTGCTTATTTTCCAATCTATTCATATCTAACTTGATATTTCGATCAAAGCAATCTGACGACGAAATCAAATCTGTACTAAAGCTGCAAAATCACAGAATGACTCTATTACAAGGATGAGTTATTTTCCTAAATCAATAATCACATCACCAATATAATAAATTCCGGCTTTCCAAGAAATACATATTGTAAATTAGGCAGAATATGACTGATCGATACGATAATCTCCCAACGAAAACGATGGGAGATTATCGTACCTTCAAGCCGCTGCATGGATCGTTTACCACCATGCAGTACCATTGGCGCATCACGGCTGCTTTTGCCTCCGATACTCGATCAGCATTTGGCACGACACACTCGCCATGATCTGCATGCGCCCCACTCGCCCCAGATTGCAACAACACTGGACTGGAGCTCGTTTAATATGTAAGGGGATGGCGTGAATGTGGGACGGGCTTGCAGGTCGATTCTTAATTCTACTATTCTTTGCTCCGCGGCCAGCGCAGCGTTGAAAATCTGGACAATGAGTCGGTCTTCGCATTGGTCGCCTCATCGGACTCCATTCCCATCCTTCGGACAGAACGAGTCTGCTCCCGGAAGCAAATGCGGCGGAGAAGAAAGAACATTGGGGCTGGCCGACAGCATGGGGAGACGGAGGAGGAGTTGCAACAGTTGTTCTGGCATTGTTTCGTCGTCGGCTCATTGATTGATGGTTTGATGTCAGTGCCGGATGTCTCGACTCGAAATAATTGACGCTCTTTTTGGTCCCTGTCGAGAACGTCGTCCGCCTCTGCACGCGAGGTCTGCATTGTCTCCAGGAGACAGGAGTGAATAAGGAAACCCCACTCGACAGGATGGCAGGAGTTTCGCCCAATTAGAAGATGACTGGGTGTAACAGTTTCCTGCTGCACCTGATCACGTAAGCTCTTCAGCACGAAATCTGGGCACTCCAGCTCCTCAACACGGTTATGGTCCATGATTCCCGCCACCGAATGGCGGAGTGAGGACCACAGCCTAATGCCGACTGCTCTTCAGATTGCCCCACAGGTGAGCCAACTATGGAACTTAAATCGCTATGTGAAGAAGAACATTTTCTAAACTCGACGCAGCTTGAACTTGATTGATTGATTGTTTTGTTCCTCTCCTGGTAGAGCTACTGGCCGTGGATTTCGTCAATGCTGCTCCGAGTCCGAAAATATTGGTGGTCGGAGTTTGTATCTCACGAAACGAACACTCCCCTTTGCTCTGCTCTGCAAGTGCAGGCAGGCTGGCAGATTGTTTGGTAGGACTCACTATCCTCACCATTGTTCATTATGTTATGGGTTCGGGGTGCTCGACCGGTTGCTTATACCGCGGCTGCCTTCGTAAACTTCCTGACCCTCCCTGTTGAGACTGCCAACCGACTGCTGCTGCCATAAACCTCAAATTGATTATGTCTTCCGCGAGGAGCTGAAGGTAAGCTTTTTCATGGACGTGAGCATCATTTGAAGATCCATTCACTGCACTGTAACACTTCATGTTATGGAAAGTGGACTTTCCCTCTTCTTGCAATAATTGACCTGTGAGCCTCCGTAGTCTTTTTTCTGGTTGACCCGTGCAATTTGTAGTACTTGTGATTGACATCAGTCGTTGTAATTTGTCTGCAGCGGGTGGTTATGTACCAATAGCCCCGACACTCATTACATGAGCAAATGACGAGTAAATTCGAAGAGGAGATTGAGCTGAAATCGGGCTGTTCAATCCACGATGGTTCGAATGTTCTAAGAGACATATGAACGGGGGTGGAGATAGCTAAAAAATGGGAATCCAACGAATGAAACACAAAATGCAGATGCATCACTCCAAAGAGGTGGAAGGATATCACGGTGGCATCGAGGAGAGCAAGTCCTGTAGATTTAACCTCAAATTCGAATCTCCTGGTTTATCCTGCACATTCGCATCTATCCGTGGACCTACAAGGTTTAAGAAATTCCAGTAACTTTCAGCAAGGATGAGAGAAAGGAGGTAATTATCAGCATGTGAATCTGCCCTTCTGCAGAATTCACCTCAAACCAGAGAAGAGTGTCAGCAAGTCGAGCTGCTCTTAGTTCGTGCACTAGTCTCACAGGAAGCTCCAGGCAGAGTCTCGGTCGTAGAGTGTGACGGTCACCTTCAATTCTTCATACATGTTAATTTCAGACTCCGTCATTAAACTCCGATCAAATGGAATATTAGTGAGGAAAATATGCCCCATATGATTTGGATAGCTACACCAACGGAGCTTAAAAGAACATTGTTAGTCGACTGGGAGGAAAGAAGATAACTTTGAGCAAACTCAAGAGATGAATTGTGGGCCACTTCTGAATCAGCTCTTTTCTCCTTGTTGGAAAATTGTCGTTAGGCTAAACTGGACCTGACTCAGTCAATAAGCGTTCCTTTCACAACCTTTAAGAACGAATTGCCCTCTACAGCGCAGGTACACAACTGTCTACTATTTTGTCTACGCATTGCTGAGCACTGACGGTGTTGCCCTTTGCTGCACCAGCGGACCTTTGTTGCATGAAGTAGTCGTGACAGAGAAAGGAGTCTAGAAAAGTGCCATTCACGACTGGGCTTGGCGTCACTGAACCGGTCAAATACAGCACTGCACGAAAGAGCCAAAATAGCAGAGTTTCAACTCTGGCTTTCACCTAGAGCCTCAAGACGTTTGGAACATTGACCACACTCAAAAGGACTTTATTCTATCGGGTCAACTTGCACATGTATAAATTCTCCCCAATGCCCTGCTGCAAAAAATTGTGCCGCTGCATATCACCATGTCATCATCATGAGACCTGTCTCATATTCATATCCATCTTTAAACTTAAAGCTATTCTCTCACTGAATCCTAAGTAAGTATATATATATATTCATTTATGTATATCATGCCTAATTGTCCGCTACTGTAATGACTTTGGCCTGAAGACGGTAAGAGATAGTGAGGAGAATCGCTGTGCTCGGTGATTGTCTTCGATTCTTCGATGCGCATGGAGACGTTTCCGTCCTTTTGACGTCTCTGCTCGCTTATTGTTCTTTTAGTGAGCATGTAGAACTGTTCAGACGCTTGTCTTCCAAACTTCCACCAGCCGTGGACATAATCGGTGGCACGAAAATCTCCTCCGTTCGAAATTTAGAACATGGTCTGCGATGATGCGAGTGGCTCCCAACACTATTACCGATACGAAATGTTCTGTCTGCACTTTGTCAACGTGACCCACCCTTGCTCTCTGATGTGTATATAGTCCGCCGACCTTTGGGCTCTCGTTGCTTCAAATGACATCGACGAGCAAAGCACAGTTCCCTCAGCGTCAGCTCAAACAGATCAGCAACCTGCATACTCAGTGTCGATGATCAGGCCATTCCGTCAAGCAGGATTCTTGGACACGGGACAATCTTATCTGCCTGGAGTTGACCTCGCGACGACTTGGGTTTCGATCTTCCGTGATTGCTTTGACGTGGGTCCACAGACTCTACTGTCGCTTCGGGGACATCCGATACCTTCACCCACAGAACAGACAGACACAAAGGAAGAAAGAAACGGACTTCTCCGTACTCCTGAGGAAAAGTACCAGAAAACCGGAGTTTATCCTTTGACAAAATCATTCACGTCGCTTTATTTTAAATATAGTAATTTCCCTCCTTAACTTACAACACCTTCATTTTAAGAAAGAAGTAACATTGGATTTAATGTATTCTTTACATTGTTTTCATAGTCAGACTTCTAATTTTAAGTCAATTAATCAACTCTGATTGCATCTTTTACTTCAATATATCATGAAAATATAATATTTTTTTACATGAAATTAATTAATTAATTAATTAATGAAAATAAGGTTTTCTTGATAAGAGTTGGGGATACGTTTTCGAATTCCATTTAAAAATTTGCACTAGTTACAAATAACCTTAAGCTTAATTGCTCGAAATTGTTCTGGTGCAATTGTTCGATTGATAGTGCACGAGGACATATTTCCATTGTGATGCTATATGTCGTGTCGTGTATCGATCATGATTTAGAATGAGGAGTCTGTCACTGGGGACCGGGGAAGCAATCGGCCTCATGCAAGGGTTTAAGCGAAAAGGTCGTCTGGCGTCTGGGGTTTAACGTTGAGACGAACCCTAGGGCCAGAGGGAGGGAGGGAAGGGGAGGAAGAAGGTGGGCAGACGTCCGAGCAAGCTGTGTGTGTTGGAGACCAGGAACTGAAAACGATTCGTGTGATTTGGACATTTTCTGCAGGGCTTGCTGGGATTGTGAGTGGAATTTCTCACCTTCTCATCCTTCGGTACCGAGTGGGTTTATTTTTGTGTCGCCCGCAATGGAGGCCGGGCGACATTGTTCTCGTCATGGGATTGGCATTGATGTGCTCTTTACGCAGATGACTCTTGACCTCAATTTTTCCTGCAGCCGGATGCCCTGGTAAATTCCTCTGCGTGGCCGAGATGTGGAGTGGAACCTCTGCATCTGTTCGTCCTGGCGATACCACGATCAGAAAGAATTTCCATCTGCTATCGTTATTCTTTTATGCTCTGTAGTCTTCGGCTACTTTCCCGTACGTGACAATTGAGCTGTAGGGTTCTTTTCATTCGGACTCGACTGCCAAAATGTTCCTCAACTCGCAAAAGGCGTTGCTTAAAAGCGATGGCACCCGTCTGGATGATCGGCTCCCCTCCCACGTTCGCCCTGCCTGTATGCGTCTTCTTTCCAGCCACAATTTTATTTTTTAATCGTTCTTGGCGTGTGGAGAAACTTTTCATAGCAGTGTCATGTTTCCACTTCTTTTTGGGGTTTCCTGCCTGATGTCTCACTTAAGAATGGCTTTTTTCCTTCAGTTCTTAAAACGGGCGCTGTCAGTGTTGCCGCTGGATCAGCATATGCAGAGTTTGGCTCCACCAAAGTGATTGTCTCCGTGTGAGTGTATGAGGCACGCCGTAAGTGTTTATGAGGTCTATTCAGTCTAATGAAACAGCAAAAGGATTTTGGTATCAAGCAAAACTAGTTGGTGCTGATTTTTTATTTTTGTCCGTGCAGTTATGGTCCGAGAGAGAGCAAGAAAGCTCAAGCATTTAGTGACATTGGTCGCCTCAACTGCGACGTCAAGTTTACATCCTTTGCTACCCCATTAAGAGGAAAAGCTGGCCAGGTTGGTCACCTTGACTTTCGTCGGACGCCGTTCCGCTGCATTATTTGGATTGATGTGCTTGGTATATAGTTACTTCATGGGGTTTTTGCAATCAGAGACATTTTTAGTATCATTTATTCAGGGGGTTGAAGTTGAAAGCACATGGCTGTTCTGGCTTCTTTTTGCTGGATTGTCATATATTTTGATTTGTTTCTGCCCCATTTCTCTTTCGTGATGTCTGACCTACACTTGTATTTTCCCCGTGAATCCAGGATGTCAGTGACAAAGAGTTCTCGGTCTTGCTTCACAAGGCGCTTGAGGATGCCGTCGACCTGCACTCATTCCCCAAGACCACCGTGGATGTGTTCGCCCTTGTTCTACAGTCGGGTGGAGGTACTGATCATGTCTTAACTCTTTGTTTGCAGATAATCAAATATCTTTTGAAGTCTTTCCCTCGACACAAGTTTGCCAATTTCTCAACTTGGCATGTCTGTGTGTGAGCTCAGTACTGAGTTTGTTGTTCGTGTACGATGTAATGTATAGACTCTGACGGCATTGTGTACGCTATTGACTTGGATATACATGAAACGCTAAACGCTTACCTGTTTGATATCATTTTTACAGGTGATCTACCCGCAATCATAACATGTGCATCACTGGCGCTTGCCGACGCAGGGATTGTCATGCATGACATAGTTGCTGCCATATCTTTGGTAGGCGAACTGGCTCCCTGTGAGATTTTCCGGAATGCTTCTCTAGTCATTTTGTGCGTGTTATGTGTGCATTCTATTTACTATCCAATTATCTAGTAATGGTTTTATTTGAGGCCAGCTAACATCTTCTTTTGGTTGACAGAGCTGTGTTGGAAAGGATCTGTTACTCGATCCAACCTACAAGGAGGAATCTCAACAAGATGGGAGTGTCTTCATTGCGCTGATGACATCCAGAAGGGAGATTACCCAAGTTACCTTCACCGGTGAATGGTCCAGCACAAAGGCATCTGAGGTGAGTTGTCTCAATTGTGCAATGTGGAGAAAGACGTGTCTGTGTTGTCAGATTACTCCCCGTTATAACCTGCTGCGGACAGATGTTTCGCTGAACTCTGCTTTTAGTTGGTAGAAGTTTTGTCGAGTGAAATCTTTTCAGTAACTTTTCTCAGTCATACGTTCTGGTCGGTATTTTTTCTGCTGCTCTCGATTATCCTTAGTTTCTTCTGAAAGCTTGATTTGTGAGCCTCATATACTCTTGTGTATTCCCAATCACCATACTTTAGGTCCCCTGAGGCAAGTGAACCTCGGAGTATTGTTGCATTCGCTCTGTCGGTTCTAGGTGAATTTTTTCGAATTTGAGAGAACTGTGTCCCTTAGCTGAGCAGCAAGTCATATGAGAAAATGTCGGCCGGTCTGCTGGAGACTCGATGTCATTCAAACACTGAGCACGATTTTGGTTGACGTTCTTTGCAGGCCCTGGAACTCTGTTGTGATGCATGTGTAAAGCTAGGTGAGGTAATGCGGATCTGTCTGAAAGAAGACGCTGCAGAAGCTACGGAGGATACATAGAATGAGCTAGAAAGATCGTTGTATAGCGACCAGGTAGAACATGATTATAGTTCCGTGGAGTGTTTGTTCACAATGCTTGGAACTTGAAGGTGAGTGTGCAGCAAAAATTTAGTTAAAGCGTCAAAAGGGCTCCATCGCTTTCGCTGTTGATGTATATTTACTTCATCAGGAGATCTTGCATTCCCTGGCGTGTGTTGATGAGAAGAGGTTACGCCTGGCGACTCGACCTGACGGCGTTCAGTTGAGCCTGCATAAGATCGTGTCAGTGACCGATGGAATGGACACATGGGAAGGCGTGGTCAAGCTGGATAAATCTCTATGATCGCGGGGCGAAATGTGTGCTTGTTTTCCTTGCCTGTTTTGATCATATCAATGGCTTTCCAGGGTTGGTTGAAACCTCCAAGATGTTCGCCGAAGCCAGGGGATCACCTGGAACCGCAGCCACCATTTTATGAAATTACCAGCTTTCATACAGGTGTGTACATTCTATGTATGTGGCTTAATTTTGAACACAAGAATTCTAGTCGTCGCTTATGGAGGAATAGAGCGGAGCGTGTTCAGGTTCTCGACTTTACAGCATGAACTCGTCTTCCTTCAGAGTGTATTTAGAACTTCAGTACATGAGGTGCACGAGTCATTCCACACAACTTCCAGTCCTTACCATAATTTCACGACTGAAGTGGATATTATAAAGTGAAATGTAATAATGAACTACGTTCCCCTCTTGTGTGGGGGTGATTCAGATCTCTGCAAACGTTCTCTAGTTCATCGAATAGCTGAAGACCCACCGATCTGTGGTGAATGAATTCTTGCCACTTTTTCTGTCGTGCCAAGAGAAATCATCAAACCGCTACAACTGTAAACCCTAAACCTTGTTTAGTCTGAACAAGACAAATAAAACCGTGCTATCTTGAAGAAATCTAATTTGCCTCGTAGTTTGCTTCAGTGCTGTCTCACAGAAGCAAAGCATCCCCTTGCTGAACAGGGTTAATTTAGATTGGCAGAATTGGTATCTTACATGCATTCGACTGTGATTGGTTTTTCAGGACGTAAGTCGAACATCCCGCTTACAACTTACATTGCGATACCCTAACGCCTGTGGATTTTAGCCGCACATTTCCTTCCATCCTTCCCGCTTCTCTCACGACCATAATTCTGACTAGTGTAGAAGTTCGCCCCGCTGCAGGAATAGCAGACGCTTCTACTGTTATATTCGCCATGTATTCTTCTATATACATAATTAGTCACACATTCATAAACCAATAATAGAATTGAAATATATTTGTGCTGTGTTGTGTTGACTCACTTGACCATTCCCTCTCTGCCCTAAGCGCGCAGAAGCGCAAGAATCGGATGCTTACTTGAAGTACGTCACAATATTTGAATATCGTGGATCTCCCTCCACGTATACTGCACTGGTATAGAACACCCCAAAATAGATACAGATATTAGTAGAGGTTAAAAAAAATTCTCATTAATCATCTAAATTTTAATAAGTGAAGATATTTATGAAAAACGCAATGAGTGATACATGACACACAGAAATCCGAACTCTGGGAACTCATCACTTAGGCTTGTGCACCTAAGTTACATATTTTGTCAGTGATGTACACGCTCATTCTTATGATCTCTTTCTTTGCAATGCAGTCCCACACATCTGAAGGTCACGAAGATATCTGCAGCCTCACGGTCGCCCAGAACCGACAACCTTTACCATTCCAGCCGGCAGTTTTCGAGGAGAAGCTCTTACCATTTGAGAAGAGTCAGAATTGAAACCAGGAAACTATTCTACTGTCTTCTAAATGTGATAAGATAGAAGCCAATTGATTCGGTTTTCTTTCTTTGTAAACCGACGGAATTTGGCTAAACAAACATGGGATCGTGGGCTGCTTGTGTATTTTGAATATTTGATTTAAATCAACGGTTCCTGAAGGCGCTATCGCTTTATGAATTTCTATATTTATAAAATGTAGAATTATATTTGAGATGATGGTTATACATATTCAGGGATGAATTTGTTCCACGATTTAATATGATATGTTGCAAGCAATGTATAAATTATAAAGTCAAGCCATCCCACCATATCTCGTGTCTTTCGGTGGTAACATTAACCCTAGTCGTGTAAACCATTGGTGTAAGTGATTTTGCAGAGGAGTAAGAGACACATTGTGTCTCAAAGGACTCATTATGTTATGGAGAAAAATAAAATGCAAAGACCACAACTGAGCACATTCTTGCTCTCTTGTGAGCATTCAGATCATCGTGTCATCTCTAGTAACCATGGTGCAAGTGGTATGACTGATCTCACAAATGGAGTGGCCGCACGTCCGAATAAGCTGTCAATTCTTGATCTTCGTTCTGTCTATCGAGTCGTGCATGAGACAACTTCAGTTCGAGTCGTAAGAAATCCGAACATCTCGATCTGACATGGAGGGAGGTACTTGACGTTGGGGACGACTGCTTCGCTCAAGTCAGAAGAGATTCGAGCGTAGAGCAGCGCCTTCTCCTCCCCCTTCCGTATCTGGCTTCGGGCAGCCGGGAAACCTCCCGTCCGGGTTTCAGGCGCCGGCGGGAAGTAAACTCCCGGCGGGCATGGGCATGCAATCGCAAGTCACGGAAATAGCAAATCACGTCGAAGAGTCCAGCACGTGGAAGCGACCACGTCGGATGGGTGCACATGTCCGACGTGGACGCTGCGCTGGACGGATTGGCTCCGAGCGTGCGCTGCCAGTTTTCGCAATGCGTTGCGTGGCTCTCGATGCCGATCCGAGTCACTCGTTCGTCGCCCGCCCGCGTTGCGTAACGCAGGCATTCCTCGTGGGGGACGATGAGGGGCCTTTGCGATCGTTTCGTTCCGGAAATCCGTCCTTGGTCGTAACACTCGGAATCCGATCGTTGCTCGGGGAGGGGGAAGAAGAAGCGGCGCGCGAGAAAAAACTCGTGCAATTTTCGTCGTCGTCGAGGAGGAGGCGTCGGAAACTCTGCGAGTGAATCATGTTCCGATTCGGACTCGCTGCCGCAAGGAATCGAAGGCTCTTTCCTTTACGGAGCTCTGACTCGTCGCTCTGCTCGCTGCGACTGGTGCGTGGTGCAATTTGACTTTTTGTCTTTGGTCCGTCCAGGCGATCCAGAGGTGTTAGTTGAGAAGACGATAGGTGCAATTCCTCCTGGCTCGGTCCAAATCCAGCCTGCTCACAATCAGTCCGCTCGCTCGTCGTCCAGTGCTGCAAATGAACTAGTTATGCTCTGTTTCTTGAGGTAGATGTCGAACTCTGGTGGACCCTAATCTGCCTGGTTACGCTTTGTGTTCCATGAGATCAGTTGGCCGACCACTGGAGAGAGAGAATTTTTTCCAGGACGGATTGAACGATCCTCGTGGTTTTCTGCGTTCTTTTCTGAAATCTGTGATCCACCACTGAGCATGACGTCTGTGACACACGCTGAACTATCCATCTCACGGGAAGGCCTGTGTGAAGAGAATTGTTAGAGAATTGTCGATTCTTCATTGGAAATATGTGGAATTCAGCTTGAGATTTCTCAGAGATTTTTACGCCCGGTTGCAGGCTTCGACTCTGGTCGTGGGTGAGCATGAGGAGGGAGTGCTAAAAGCCTCAACGCTCAGTGCAGTGGCTGCAGCCAGTGCTCTCGGTGATGTTTCTGTGTTGGTGGGAGGGTTCGGCCCCTCTGTACACAAAGCAGCCACTCAAGCAGCCAGTGCTCACTCTGCTATATCACAGGTACTGTGGACATGAGATTCTGTCTGATCACTTTAAGGGTTGAATTTCCCACGGAAGTCATTCTCAAGCTATACTCTTCAGGTGTTGGTCGTTGACTGGGAGAAGGTGAAGCATGAATTGGCTGAACCGTGGGCGGAGCTTTTGCTTATGGCCCAAGAGAAGGGAAAGTACTCGCATGTCCTAGCTGCATCCTCTTCCTTTGGCAAGAATATCGTGCCCCGTGCCGCAGCTCTTCTCGATCAGACGGTCGTTTCCGATGTCATCAAATTTGTGGACGAGCATACTTTCGTCAGGTGGCCAGACCCAACGATTTTCCTGAACTTTTTTCCAGGTTCTAGGCTTGGGTTCCAGTAATGTTTTTTGTTTGACCTGGGAATTATTGAAGTCGTGGACTCTCCCAGTTGGGGCGAGTTGAAGGCTTTGTGATTTACTACTTACAATCTCAGGACGACAGTGAAGACTGTCGAACTACGACGGTGCCTTGACTATTGCATTTTCAGACCTGTTTATGCAGGAAATGCTTTGTCCACGGTTAAGTATACGGGTTCTGGACCCTGCTTTATGACGATTCGTCCTACTGCATTCCCAGCGGGTCAAGCTTCCGCAGGAACTCCAGCTCCTATTGCCACTCTTGACACTGGAACAATCAAGTCAGGTACATCGGTAATTCAGAGAATCATTCGATCGAAGATAAAGAGTTGTAGATATGATTTAGCGATGCAGTGGGAAAGAATGGGTTTTTTAGGCTTCATTTGCTATCCACTCTTTGCGTGAGGAGGCCTCCAAATTTGATTTTTTATTTGGATTTTCTCTCAGAAGCAATCGGACGATCAGAATGGGTGGGACAGCACGTTCAACGAAGCGAACGGCCAGAGCTTGGAAGTGCGCGTGTGGTTGTTTCTGGGGGCAGAGCACTTAAGAGTGCTGAAAATTTCAAGTTGCTAGAAACTCTTGCTGACAAGCTTGGAGGTGCCGGTAAGCCTCCATTTTCCTCACACATATTTCTAAAACGAAGGATGCAAGCTAAACGATTCACACGCATGTTTCTTAGATAGTGTTTCTTTCACTAGCTCTTGCAGAATCATCCTTCTCTCCTTTCTCCAACTGTGTTGTTCATGACAGTGCAACTAAGAAGTTTTCGCAACTTTTCTGCGCAGTTGGAGCATCCAGGGCAGCAGTAGATGCAGGATTTGTACCAAACGATATGCAGGTTTGAATTTTTTGGCTCGGTTTCCCTGCGTTCTTGTAATACTTTTTGCTGAGGATATAGTTTGCAGGGAGTATCTGTACATGAACCTTCGATTCAGTCCACGTCGTCCTAGAAAATTTACTTCGTGTTTCAGATGTAACTGGATAACTGTTAACCAACTCTAGATGGATATCACATAGTGTCGTTCATATTATCAAGGCATGTGAGCAGACATTGTTCAAGCCGTATTGTCGTTTAAAAAATCCCTGAATTCCAACCTTCAAGTGATGGGGACTGGGTTAAAACCAGCTAAATTTTCGACCTTGACTGACCTTATCTTATTCAGGTGGGTCAAACGGGAAAGATTGTTGCACCAGATTTGTACATTGCTGTTGGAATATCTGGTGCCATTCAACATTTAGCGGGTATGAAAGACTCGAAGGTCATTGTTGCTATCAACAAGGATGCCGACTGTCCTATTTTTCAGGTACTCACTTATATATGATCAAATCTCTCTGGGACAGTTTTCATACTTGTGTTGGAGAAGCTGTCATTTACTTCAAAAGATATAGATTACAAGTGTCATTTCACCTTGAGCTTTGCATAACGGTGAATACCATACAACTACTGTTGCCAGGTTGCAGATTATGGGCTGGCAGCAGATCTTTTCCAGGCAGTTCCTGAACTGATTGAGAAACTACCAGATAAGCGACAAGTCAGCGCCTAGTCTGAGCAAAGTTTCAACCTTAAGATGAGAGGAAACAATGATGAGGCCTTCTTGTACACCTAGTTCTGAGCTGCTAGAAAGTTATTTCGTGCATGGAAAAGGTCGTTGGCCAGTTTACAGCGAAATGTGTTGGTGTCGCGGTCTTCTAACTAAGCTTGATCCATAGACAGAAATGTTAATATATTCAACCCGCTTCTTGAAGGGAAAATTAAGGAAAACTGTATCTCTGTGATCGATTAGCCAGGTTACTTAGTCTCCGAATTCAAGTATTCAACGACACATTGACCAACAAGATTTATTTTACCATCACTTCAGGTCCGGCGATGTACATAATTTTAGAAATAAAATCCGCAAGGTCAGTCATCTGCAATAGGATTGGCTGAGATTTCCAAGGCGGAGATCGGGGCCATCTTACAATACTTGGTAAAGCTGAATAAAGTAAGAAAGAAACCTTTTGCGTACAATTTGGATGTATGCACAACGACCCTACATGGCGTTCTGAATAGGGATCTACGATGGTCTTATTGGCACTGAAACCGTGAATCTCAGCTCATAATCTTTTAGATATAGGGAGGCTCCAAAATTGAAAGAGAGTGCGGTTGAGCCCCCGCCGCACCTAGCAACCATTGCTAAGGTATCTCCGCCGACAGGTAGACTATCAGGTCCAGCAATATTGAGCTGAAAGAACTCTCTTCTTTTAGAAAGAAGAAAGAGGAGGCAACAGTTCATGATTATGAGTTTAAGGACAGGGAGAGGGAGTAAGAGCAGGCCTCATAAGTTTGTTCATTTTCTGGAAATACCCTACATTTGTACAAAATAAAATCCGTCCCATGTACAAACTAAGGACGCCTGTAGTACATCTCGCTCACTGCTACTCAAGTTACAACCACTCTCTCTACTTTCATTGTCAAACATCTATTGAGAATATACAGCTAGCAAGCAAGCCGACGCACCGTTAGAACGGTGCATGACATTGAAGATCGCGTACATCAAGAAGCAGCATAGCAATTTGCACATGCCAAAGGAGGAGTGGTAGATGATCACGTATTCGATCAACGTGACGTTGGCACTCTTGCAAACAAGGTCTCTCCTGATAGCATAGCATGAGCAGCATATTCAAGCTTTGATTGCAACTCTTACTAGCATGTTTGCCATCATGATTGCAGAGCCAAACCGGCGAACAATAATGCCCAGCTACTTGTAACTCTTAACATTATGTATATTTGCAGGCTCTTTCTACAAGCATATGACCACAGATGAAATATTGCGGTCTTGAAGGAAATTGATATATATGCAATGAAGCTTGTCTATGAATTCATGGGCGTCAAATCGGAGTGTGACAACAATAAACGTGCCCTCGATGAAGATTCATCACATGTGATTCCATCAAAACTCATTCATATGTGCATCGGTGTCTTTATCAAGGACGTGCTCAATCCATTCCGAGCTCATCTTGCAAAGTTTTGGAGCTATTACGACATTGAGAAGGTCAAGAACAAACATTGTGACCTTCACAATTTGTACATCAACGACATCACTATGCGTAATTTTGTTGACAAAACAACCGTCAAATCTTCTTTTAATGAGGCCTAGTCATTTTTACCGGACCAATTCAATAATCTTTGCTCATTTTGCAATGAATTGGCGACAATTTTTGCAAATACTTCGTTTGTGGAGAGCTACTCCTCCATTGTGAAATGGGAGTTTTGCACATGCTTAATGCATCTGTCACCAGGGTATCTTCCAGCCGAAGTAGAGAGATGTACTGGGCATTTTAAACCAATAAAAGGACTTTTTATGCAAAATGTACAAACCAACTTTGGCTTGTACAACCAAATTAAGCTATTTTTGCTAGTTTGTTTACATGTACAAACTTATGAGGCCTGAGTAAGTAAGACACTGCAGAAAATGAACCCACCCTACGCCTCTTGTAAGGTTACTTATGTACCACTATTGGCTGCATCTTCTGTTATGCATTCCCCACGGAAATGCATTTAATCCCCATAAAATGTCCCTCCTATCGAACCCTCCACTGAACCCAGAGTGGCTGCTATTGGAACATATCTGCAAATAGTACCCTCATCAAGAGGACCGATAATGTGAAATTTGCGAAAACATCATGGAGTATTTCCCAGCTTCAGGAAAATCTTAGGCAGGTTGGGTGTATCAGTGTAGTGCACATTGTGTTGAAGTTGTAGAACTCCCAAGGCCATATATCTACAAAGTTCCGTCGTATCGACCAATTCGATGGTCGCAAAACCATCTATGCAATTCTCATTTGCGAAGTTGGGACCAAACTGCTCCAAAAAATTAATCGACTAACCAAAAATCATCAAATATTCCCGCATCCATTTGCAAGAGACGTGGAATCCAAATTGTCCGAAAAGAAAGTCAAATATGAATCTGCTGTCGCGGATCTATTTGCAAGGGACGTGCGGAGGAGCTTGAATGTCAAAGAATGTACGCACTGAAGTATGTTATTGTGGAAGGTGAGCCGGTGGACAACAACAAGGTCGTCACAGTCCCGACAGCGATGCAGAAGGTAGCGAGTGACAAAGTCTAAGCGACTGTAGGAAGTAGGAAAAACTCCACCCGCACCATCAAGACACAGGAAGCGAACTGGACTGGGCCCCGGTGGTGGTCAACAAGCCACAAAATTCCAAATCGTCTCCTGACGTGGTTTGTCGTCATGTTGGAATTGAAGACGCACCCGATGTTGCATCACTTGTTGGCATGGACGGGTTCAAGGTCTCCTTCACCACCAGTATATTGTCAGTCCATCAACATCTACCTCTGGAAGGGCAGTCTGGACACGAACACCACTGGTTTCGCCTCTCTTAGATGTCATGGAAGATGAGCTATTTACGTCCATAAACACAACCACATAATTAGCGGATAAAGACGACTGCACCAAGAGTTCCGCCAGTTCTGGATATGTCGCACTAAGTTAGTGCTCGCCAGGAATGGAAATATATCACACCCGGCCACATTCCATGGCTCTTCATCTGATCTCTTATCTGCGGGTTTCTGCTGTCATCAAGACGATCACGATCGTGTTCAGAAGACTTGTCTGTGAGCAAGGAGGTAGCGAGGAACACGGAAGGCAATCTGGCATCACGAATGTGGGCAAATGTGACAAGATCTGGGCCACCTTCACCGAAAAAACGCAGGACCCGTACATGGCTCCACCAGGCAACAGTGCCAGAGTACAGAATCTACACCACTCCCTCGCCAACCATTGACGTCGAAGCTCCGGGAGAAGGAGACGGGAAAGGTCGTGGGAGAGACTGAGAGTCGAGAGTGAAAATTTCTCACGAGGCCAAGATGGTGCAAATAACATCATTCACAGCATGGAGAGTGCCAAGTGTGTCGCGCCCCAAGGTAAAGAAGAACCCGTCAAGCCTGCAGGAAGAATAATGTCGGCTAGAACCAATAATCTTCTGATAAGAATTTGTCAAATAGACAGAATAGAAAATTAGTTTTGCTCTCATGTCCTTACTCTTCAGGATATGCATAAGAGTAGAATAAAGCAATTTGAGATCTAGATGGGACAAACATCTTGGAAAATGAGTGACTATTCACTCTCACATCCACTTATGAAGCGAGAGAAAGATCATTTAGATTGGTTACAATTATTCTCCGCTTACTATTATAATGTGGGAGATATCAGAAGCGCGGTTGCAGACATAGAGACTTACTGCAGGAAGTTTGGATGTTTTTTCCTTCTTCTTCTTCTTTTAGTCTAGGCGTTGGATCTATTGTGAAGTGCTCTGGCTCATGACCCAGGTACTTTTGTACCTGCCTCCATGAGTTTCCATCATGCTCTTACATTCATGGGTCTCCGGTTAATGTATCTCCCTCTGTAATCCCACCAAATTTCTATTCTCTCCTCTCGAAGGAGATAGATTGGAGGATAAGGTGAACTAGTAGGAAGTGAAGATCACTCTTCTTTGAGAGTGAACTCGCAGTTCCACATGCAACACATTATAATATCCGCGAAATTGCATGAGTCTGATCTCACTTGTTAGAAAAAGTAGTTGCGGAAGAACTACTCGAGGAGAGGAGCCTAATGCTCTAAAGGAAGAAGATTCTAGCAGCAATGCAATTCTCACCAACAGAAAAGTTCCAACTCTATGAAATAAATCTTCCAAAATCCACGATCTCACACGACAAAAGATGACGATGTTATTATGGCATCCATTATTTTGTTTAAATCTCCTTTGTTCAAATTATATAAACTGGATCCATGCAAGAGCATACACTTCAAAGCTTGAAGTGTGATCTTTTGAGTTATACCTCATTCTCCTTTACGCTTTCGATTTAAAAGATATGTTGAGTTTATGTACAATAATTTAAGAAACCTCTCACAAGCCATATATATAATTTCATTAAGACTTCTAAAGTTAATGTTCATTCGACTCTACTGTTTAATCGCTTTCACTTTGAAGTCATCAATTGCATGACTTTTATATTATATCTGTATTTTTTAATTAAATTTCACCTTTTGAAAACTTTACAATCTGACATCTCAACATATGCTTTGTTTTCTTTCAATACAAGGAAATCTATTTGTAAAATTTTGTGATGATCTTGCTAAGAGGGTTATGTATCAAGAATTCAAAAAATCCAATCATTCTCTAGAAATGTACAGATAGAAATCAAATGATATAAATATTTTATCAACATATTCCAAAGTGAGATTTATGAGATTTTGTTCTTTGTACATCTTTACCAACATTTGTGATGAATTTGCAACTGCTTGTAACATCAACTCTTGTTAAATACTTAGCACCATCAACTTATGATTTATTTTCATGGTATAAAAATATAATTTCATCATTTGGTGACTGGAATCACCATACTCATTTTAAATCCATCTTTAGTTTTCATGAACATTAACAGAGCAGAATTTATTGGATATAATAAGTATCTTTTCTAAAAGTCATTGAATGAAATTTGCACTACATGAGCTACTTTGATATGAGTATATATTATTGTAAGATTGAAATTTTTAGTAAGATTTTTCTGTAACGATAATGTTTTTTCTAAGTTGATAAAATCAAAACACATCTTTTAAACACAAATAAACATAAAATTTATACAAAATATTATTTTCCGTTAAACTTAAATATGTTTTTCTAGTGCCAAATAATAATGTGATTATACAGTCAATCATATAACACTTATAAAATTGAACTTTGTTGATTAGATCTAAATCTATTTTCAACATTTTTTATAAATTATTATTTCCTCTTTTGTTGCTTCTCATCATCACATACTTATGAATCCATTAAAAAAATGAAAAAAAACATCTTCATATAAGCTTTTAATTTAGAATAAAGTAAATTTATATTTTTTAAGACTAAATATAGGTTAAAAAACATGAAAAATTCAAATTAATAGAATTAAACTAATTAAAAAATTTTGACCTCTAGAGTAATATTTTCATAGTATGACATGTACGTAACATACTCAGATAAAATCTAAAAATTTTATTTCTGCTAGATTTATACACATTAAGATGTGATATCGTTTAACACATATTTTTCTATGTGTAATATAATTTGATATATAGTATCATAAAATCAAATCAATCAACACTATGAATGCGTATACATAATTGTGCAAGTAAAATAAATCAAAAAATTTCATTTTTCCATCTATAATATGATTGTAAGATATATATTATTAAATTTAATTTTAAAAATATTAAAAAATATGTGTAACATATTTTTATGAGAAAACTCACAAAAATGAGAATCACAAGCACTCATACTTAATTGAATAGTTCATCACTACACGA